ACAGTTTTTTATTTCAGCATGAATCCAGTGCCATGGCTTTAAATAAAATGTTTAAACTCTGAAAACCACAGGAAGGAGATTAACCTTCCTCACAACACTGTCGGTTCACTTTAATTAGCTAGCCCTACTGCCATTTTAGCTCATTTTTAGCTACGTCAGTGAGTTTGCCATCATTTAGCGTTTTGTTTAGCTATTTTTGGCTACCGTCTTTGAGTTCGCCGTTTTTGGCCACGTCAAACTGATTTTATCAGGGCTAGCTTACCTTAAGCATGGCATGGCTAATCTTTCACTATTTAAGTACGAATTCTGGGCTTCTTGGCTATTCTTCAACCACATGTTATATCTGAGTTAACTTTTTAGTTATCATTATCTGACTTCTTAGCGTTTTTATTTATTCAAGGCTAATTTAGCAAAAAAAATGTGCTAACTTTAGGTCATTTCTGAAATATATACGCTATGCTTTTTTTTGGTGTCTAACTTTTGACCATGTTTGTTTGTGTTTGGATATCATCAAGTATCAGTAAAAGTAGTAGGCTATTTCACCTAGCTATTCTACTTACTAGCTACTTATTGTGCTTTATTTGGACTATTTGTTTTTTTTTACCAACATCATTGTTTTTGCTATTATTTTTTTTTGTATCAAATGACCTTCATAACAAATATATATGGGAGGTTTTGAAAGAGCTACCATCTTGAGTGACTAGCAGCTAACTACAGCTGCATGTTACGGTTTGATTTTTTTTTTTTTTTTTCTTTTATCAATTTTAGAATGTGAACGGGATCAAGTATCACGCCAAGAACGGCCACCGAACCCAGATAAGGGTGCGCAAACCCTTCAAGTGCCGGTGTGGGAAGAGCTACAAAACGTCTCAGGGTCTCCGCCACCACACCATCAACTTCCACCCACCCATCTCTGCTGACATCATCCGTAAGATGCAGCAGTAATGAGGTGAGTGAGGGACCAGCGCTCCTTCAGGCCAACTTCTGTTCCTCCAAACACCATCATCACCAGCAGAAGCTGCTTCTGGTTTCCCATCATCCCACACACCCCGGTCCCCTCTCAATGACTCCCTCTCTGCTGACACTATTTTTTTTTTAAATTGCATGGTATAAATGTGTTATTGTTTATCTTCACTTTTATATTCAGTATATTCAATTTTTCCAGTTTTGTATTTTGCACATTTGAGTTGTTTATCTAGCAGTTTTTTTTTTAATGTGTATTTTCCTCCTCACTTTGGAGGATTTGTTAGTGAATAGCCACACGCCCAGGCGTCCTGCTTCTCAGGCAGTGTGGAAGACAAGAAACGACTGTGGCACGTTGGTCACATGAGCCAAAACAAATGTGAGACCAGTTCTATCGCTGTACTCGCTCCTGTTTGCTGATTAGTTAGAATCCTGCCTTTTCATATCATGTCCATTAGGAACCTCCTTTCAGGTGCATTTCCTCCAAACCCATGTTTGAGCTCCAGAGGATGATCTCAGGTGACATTCAGAAGCATTTTCGCACCACAGACCTGCCCAGGTTTTCATAGTATTAAGTGGGAACAGACAGTTCACACACAGTTGACCTCACTCTTTTCCAGTGAGGAATTGAAGCACTTTTTTCTAACAAGTTGCCAACAATTTAGTGATTTCTTTTTGTCTGTTTTTTGTTTGTTTGTTGTTTTTTTTTTTGCCCTGATAGAATTCAGTTCTGGTGTTTGTACAGAAAAACCAAGTGTTTGGAGTGAAAGTGCTCATTTCAGAAAACAACATCACTGCTGAGGCGTTAGTGTTAAGAATCTATTATGACAGTATTGTGCTGCCAGTGCAGAGGGAAGTCTTTGATATAGTGTACAGTGAATGTATTGTCATGTGTTAAAGTGCATTATACTATATTTTCATATGTTTCTGGATTTGGAAAAAAAAACAATCATAAAATGTGTACGATGTACTGTATTTCTTTCAAAACGCTGCTTCATGTAAACTTTTGTTACACTCAGAATAAAAGTTACTTTATTGTGTGCCTACACATATAGTGTGATGTGGAGTTTATGATAGAAATGACTCGATTTCATCCTCTGGATCAGTGATGGTGATGACCGGTATCTGAGGAAACCAAGTGATTGATGTTTCATGATCAGATTTTAAACTCAAGATATTTAACTTTGCATGAAATGTCGCAAGCTGAGATGTTGCTGACCACGTCAGAATGGCTGCTGTAAAAGGTCTACAAAAGCTCTAAGGTTACAACAACAATGTAAAATATGGAGGAATGAGGATGCAATTCTTAATTTCTAAAATTAGACTTTCCTTTTTATACATTTTGACACATGATGTGCTCTGTATATCCAACAATTCAAATGTCATTTGTCTGTTTTTGCTTTAATACATAACATTATTTGCACACACTGCGGGGAAACGTTTGTTTTCCCAAAACACCTAAAGCTTAAAATACCATCTTGATGACTAATGTGTTTGTAGAGGATTCCTGACGTCCGGCTTGTGTCAGACGAGCATCTTTGAGTGCAGGTCAACCATTTAAAGACTGCAGAGTTATGTTCTCCTGTTTCATGGACCAGCAGCCATCATGGTATCAATGTTGTTATTATTCATCAGAACACACTGTTAGGTTTGGAACCAACTTTATTAGCACACATTAGTTACATAAAAGTCACTGAACAAATTAAAAGATCCTGTGAATAAAATAACTTAAATTTGCTGGTGAAGGACAAAGAAAACCTTGAACAAAAGCTCAGCATGCACTAATGGGCTGATCATGATGGAGGCAGAATCCGACACTAAAACTGTTAGAATCAAAAACAAGAACAAAAGGAAACTTAACCGATAATAAAACATCACACAGAATTTTTCTGTATCCTTTCACCATGTGATTGGATTTGTTGTTTTGTTTACTTTAAAATAGAAGATCTGACTGTTGGGACACTGTATAACCACATCCGCAGGATGAACATCACTTGTTTTGGTTTCATGGAGGTGAATGTGAGTTTGGTAAACACTTCTCTCCTGATTATGACCTCCTCCAGTCTAACGCGTCTGTGTGAGCCCAGTCAGTTCAAAGTCGTTATATTTATATATACGTACAGAACAGTCTTACTCCCCTAAATGATTCTTTTCAAATCAAACAAAGAAAAAACAAAAACGCATCTTTATAAATGCCTCATTTGCAAAGTGATTAAAACCCCCTGCTGAAATAAAATGTTTTGTTTTTAATCTTTTAATGTCACATCACTTTTCGATGCATTTCTAAGTAACAAAGCGAAAGTCAGTGCAGTCCTGAAGATGGGATCTGGACACTGATTACATGCAGAAAAGAGTGCAGCGGGATTTATATCGGTGGCGGACAGGAAGTGGGCGGAGTTGATGGTGTACGTTCCTCTACTCGAAGTTGAGCGGGTGGCCGTCGAAGTGAGTGAGCACGTGGTTCTCAAACACCTTCTGGTCGCAGTCCAGCGGGAACTGCTCGCCGCACATGGGGCAGATCTTCCAGTGGCTCTCCACGTGCTCCTCGAACTTGCTCTGGTCGTAGTTGGGGGGGAAGATGACCTCGCAGAGCGGACAGCGCTTCATCTCCATGCTGCGTGTGCGAGAACAAAACATTCGAGTCAAGTGATGATGTGGCCAATGTGGTCTAATAAATGGCATCTGTACCACGCAACGTGGGTGGGCTGCTGCTGCTGCACAAAACCCCCGCCAACAAAAGGGTTTTGTGCAGCAGAACAAACACTTCACAGGTACAGAGAGTGGAGGTGGCAGCAAAACTGAACAGTGTCTGTGTGTTAGATGTTTGGGGATGTGATCACATGATACCTGGGGTCAAAGCAGAAGCCTGTTTGTCCTTCGTTCACAAAAGGGCTCTGAGTCTCGCTGGGAGCCGGCTGTTCACCCGTGTTGTTGTCCTTCAGGGCGGAGGTTAAAACAGTGCGACTGTTACACATTTGCCACGACAACAAGCAGACAACCCTAATCCTGGACGTGTTACTCGTGCTTACGTCGTTGTTGTTGTTTTGCTTCTCCTCCGACTCCTCGTGGCCCTCGGGTCGACTCTGGTTGCGGGTGGGTTGGATACACACCACGTTGCTGTCCCATGAGGGCGGACCTACAGGGGGCAGTCTGAGCAGCTGCTCCTCTGAAAACTCTTCATCTGCCTCATCTGAAGGGGGAGAGAGACACGGAGCTCAGAGGAAACCAGCAGCTGTAGCTCGATGGATCTCCACTGAACACAGAGTCACAGTCTGTGTGACCAAATGGTTCATTCACTCCACTGGTCACCTCAGCTAAAAAAAGATTCTTCTGAACTGGTCCAGATTAGTTGTGATTACATTTCATCTTGTGACCCTTTTTCTGAGTGTTAATTCATTTAACTTTTCGTTATAAACGCATCTGTTGTTTTCTTTTTGACTTTTTTGTTTCACCTCGAGACATTATTCCAACCAAATAACGAACCATCCCAGGATGAAACACCAACCTCTGGGTTCAGACATGGAGTATGGGTTCCCAAACTGCAGCTTGCTGGGGCTTTGAGAGACCAGCAGTGGGGTGGGGGTGTCCTGCATGTAAGGGACTGGGTACTGCAGGAATAAAGGCACACTGGACTGGTTGCTCTCCGACTTGCTTTTCTCACCAACCCCCTGTTCTGCCTTCCTGTTGCTGCTGCCAGCGTTGAGATCCTGGTGGGACGAGGAAGTGAACGTTAGAAAATGTCACTCCATACATACACACGTATGTCTGTGCCACGACAGAAGGTCTGAGGATCTACACGACCTCTGCTGAAGTCACTCAGCAGCTCCAGAGCTCTGGCTCACAGTTTAATTAGTGCCTTCATTAAAGGAGAAACTCCTCTGGTTTTCAAAGGGAACAGGGCCCTGTGTTTTATTGATGTGAGCTGCAGACGCCAATTTAATTTACAGTCTAAACCTCAAATTGGGTCATTCTGCTCCTCTTAGCTGTAACGGCATTACCTCCGAGCCATATTTTAGGCCAGCGAGGACCTCGCGGTGGTGCAAAGTAATGGAATGGAAAATAAGAACGCATTCACTCTGCTTCTGCAATTAGAGGCGTATTAAACACAGACCAGATTGAGGAGGGAAAATGGCAGTTTGTCCTTCTCCTTCAAAACCAGCGCCAGCGTGTCCTTCATTTCCTTCAACTTCCGTCCTTTCTCGGCGACCTGGCTCTGAAAGACCAACGAGACACAACGCGAAGAGAGACGGACAGAGAATCAGGCAGATCACACAGAACTGCATTTACAATACCGTAGTATTTTTCCAGCATTAGAAGCATTTCCCACGAGTGACTACCTTAATATCGATACACTGAAATATTGCAGTATTTCGTTCCATGATACTGTAGCATTACTCTACCGCGCTGTATCGATTTCTTTCATTAACAATTAAAGTGGTGATGGTTTATCTTTGTGTTGCGTTTAAACCTCCGACCTCTAGCTGATCGTACTGGGAATGCACGACTTTACTATCACCGTTCATATAGTATCGCAGTATAGCACAACATAACGTATTGTTGCCAGTGAATCGTGATACGCATCTCATCGCCAGATTGTTCGATTTTTGTATTTATTTGTGTCGTGAGCTGCTGTGTGCCGTGCACTTTTCTTATCTTCAAGCCACAGAAAGTCATAGTTTCTTCAGACTTGATCAGACTGTGTCAAAGAGAAACACTGTTGTTTTCTCTCTTACGTTAAAACCAGAGCTGCTGATTGAAAAGTACATCCCTGAAATACAGTTAGGCCTCGGTGGAATGACTTCTAATTGATCTCAGCCATAAAAGGCCTCACTTTACCGAGGATGGATTTACGTCCAGAGAATCGGGCCGTTTGAATTCCTCAGAGACACTTTGCAAATATCTGTCTGATCTGAGCCAAGCGCAGCATTAGCCAGGCAACTGGAGATGACTGCTGCGAGCCAAGCTCCTCCTGTCAGCGGAGCCTGACATAAACAGCAGTAAAATGTTGTTTCACAGATAGGCCTGCTCATAAACAACACTGTCAGAGTGGCCGTGCGATAGCATCAGAGGCTGGGCTCCTGAGGTTGAGCAGCCATACACAGAGGTACAGACGAAAGACAAGTCTCCACATACAGACCTGCAGCGGAGTGTCAACAACAGCTACACTGACCTTGTAGCGATCCTCCTCCGCTGCCAGCTGCAATTTCAGACTTTCATTGATCTTGAGCTGCTCCTTGAATTTCAGCTCCGTTTTAGCCAGCTCCTCAGACAACATGCAGTTGCGCTCCTTCTCCTCCTAAAAGCCAGAGAACACTGACCGTCAACACTTCAGCTAAGGGTCCGCTGACCTACACCAGGTTGCACAAAGCCGGGTTTCCTTACCACCAGCATCTGTTTGCACTTTCTGTACTTGTCGTTCCGGTCAGAAGTCTCTCTGCTGAGGCCTTTCAGTTTTTCCTGGAGGATGGCTTCTAGAATAGGACCAGCAGAACCTGGGCTACCTGTGAAAAACATGTCATACTGTCATATCAGCATGTTTACTCTTCGTCTTCAGCAGTTTGATAATTCAGTCGGGAGTTAAAACGTACCTGGCACTGATGTGTCAGGACTCGCAGGAGCAGGAACTGTTGTTGCCTCCAGTGCTGAACCTTTTTTCCCATCCTTAGAACAAAGAGGAGAGGACAGAAAAATAAGCTCTTTTTGTTTTACTGATAGCCAGAATTCAGTCGCTCCGATGACTTTTGGTAGAACCCACCCCCGGCTGCTCAGAGAGCTTCAGTACTTGTTTTTGAAGACGCTGACATTCCTTGTATTTCTCCTTGTAGTGTTCAGCAGCCATGTGCAGCCGCATCTTCAGGTCCTCCACCTCTCTCTGCAGCTCAGCTACCACAGCTGGGTCCGCTGCTGCAGCTTCTTCTTCTTCCTCTTTGGCCTTGGTTCAAAAACATTACATTAGAACAGACAAGAAACGTGAACTACAATAATCATTGATCACAAGAAAAAACTCAACTTCACAATAGGAAATAATCAGTAATGTTCAAAGAACTTGGGCTGAGAGAAGTATCAATGATATGCAGATATATTTCAATATTTAGTTTCATGATACTGTATCAATATTATACAGCACTGTATCAGTTTATACTTGCCAGGTGGGAAGAATATTACAGTATAATATATATTTGTGTGTTTGTGTTTCAAAACAATACAGAATTATGAAGGTAGACATTAAGAAATGCATTTTAATGATTTAATTTGTTTTTTAAACTCAAACTCCAGTTGTATCAAATCTTTCAAATTCTCTTCAATATCTCTAATCAATGACAACCTGCTTGGCCTCTGTCTTCATCTGCTCCACCACACGCTCCAGGTGAGTGCAGTGGGCCTGAGCATCAGCCTTGGCCTGTTGCAGAGCATCGGTCTGCAGTTTCATGTGGTACAGCTCTGACATGGTACGATCCCGAGCCCTGGAGGCGTCTCTCAGCTCGGCGGCCAACAGAGACGTCTGCTGTTGGTTGGCCTGCAGCTGTTCTTCCTTCTGCCGCAGCTGCTCCTTCAGGGCCTTCATGTCTCCCTGCCACATGCAAAAAAAACATTCAGGGACGAAAAAATATTGCGGTTGGTGATGTGACATAATTTTTGACTTGTTTGTTACCAATGGAGAAACTTTGGCCAGGATCTCTCTGTGCTGCTTCTCCTTCTCAGTCAGGCAGGTCTGCAGCCGAGCCACCTCGTCTTTAAATTGGGCGATGGTGTTTTCCTTGTTCACATCCACAGACTTGAGCATCTGCAGCTCGGCGCTCAGCTTTGTGTTTTCCAGCTCTCGGTTTTTAAGGTGAATCTGGTGCACACATACACAGATCATTTTTTAAAAACATGACAAGTTAGAAAACAAAAGTCATTGGCTTTTGCCTCATGTATAAAACACTGATCATGATCCTGCATCTAAGAGAGTACGACACTTAAAATAAACACTGCACCACCTCAATCACACAGCAAAGTTTTGAAATAGACCAATAAAAGTTTTCCTTGTGCAGCGACACCCTCCGGGTGTTCCAGTTAAATCGGGACAAGGTTTTTGGCTCGATTTCCAGTATGTGGCACTTCTAATTTCAGTGTAGTGAACTTCACAAATAAAGACACAAAAACACCAGATAGGCTGGAAAAGCGCTGCCACCAAAACAAGCCCGATTTAAACTAAATGTTTAGGTGGGAGAAGCAAAGTAAAACCAACTGTAATTACTGAGGGGAATCGTCTTAAATTATAGGACATCTGGTGACGGTTATCCATTGTTATCACTGGATTTCAGATGGAGGTCGAGAGACTATCACCTCAGAACTCAGACACGTGGGTTAGACAGTGAGCTGTCTTCTTCAGGTACACTGTGTAGACAGCCTGCCGTGTCAGCCTTTACCACCTTCTACAGAAGCGGCATCAAACGCATCCTAACCCTATAGTCTCTTCTCCTTATTGGGTAACAATGAAGTGACAGAACAACACCACAGTGCAGAGCAGAGCAGGGCAGTGCAGACACTAAGCAGTGCCCTGCCCTGCTTCTGTTCCAGCTGGAAATCAGCCATCAACTCTGGTCAACAGTCAGGACTGCCACCACAGTTTGTACCCCGACCTATACTGATGCAGAGAGAGACATTTGGGCTTTAATACCCACTCTGTTGAATTATCTGTGATTGTGTATAGACACCAAAGGCTACAACTCTGGTGCAGTTGGTACTCAGTCACTGTTTGCAGGGATAACAAAGACCTACGTACGTGTGCCCCGCCCCTTACTGTTGGTCTCACTGTGCTGTCCCTTGCTTTTTGTCCAAGTGGGTTCAAGAAAGTAAAACTAATGAATTACTGCGACCAGGGTGTTTACCTTGTACAGCTCCTTCTCGTCTTTCTCATTTTTTAGGTGAGATTCCAGTGCCTCCTTCTCTGAAATAAGTTTCTTCACTCTGTCTTTGAGACTAAGAAAAAAAATAGGATTATAAGTAACATTTGGCATGTTATTATAAATCTAATAACATTAAATACACCCACCTGTCCAGCTCAGTCTCCTTCTGTAAGCCCTTCTGTGTGACTCCAATCAGATCTTCCTCCAGCTGAACAACTTTAGCTGTGGCTTCCTCCAGCGTCCTCTTCACTCCCTCTTTCTCCTCCTGCAGGGCCTGGGATGAATTCTGCACCTCCTGGGAGACAATGAAATATAATAATACCAAGTTAAACAAAAAAACAACAACAACTTGATACCAAATAAAAACACACAGGGTTGTAAGTGTGAACAACATTTTCATTCTGACGATTCTGACGATGATCTACAGCAATTTGTGCCAAAGCCTTCATAAATCCAGATGGGGTTAAAACCTAACACAACAAATGGATCTGTGTGTATCCACTTCTGTCTTCCACTTGTGGAAAATGTGTGCAAAACATTTTTTTACATTTAAAGTCTAAATCAAACTGAGTGTCGTGTCTCGGAGCAGAGGTTTCGATATTAAAAGATGACATGAAAAAGGCAAAAGGAAATAGTTTTTACGGTTTGTTTATAGGCAGAATTTTGAAATCTTTATATTCACACCACATAAAAAATATCATATAAAAGTAATGCCATAAAATTAACAGCCACATATTCTGTAATCAAGTCTTCATCTGAAAGGCGTTTAAAGCCCAGATTTATGGCAGAGGACAGCAATATGAATTATTACTGACGCTGCTTTTAAGACTTAATGTTGTGCAATAAAAATGTGAACTACAACTTTGATAATACACACATTCACGTCTGTCAACACGGTGATTTATGCTTTTGGTGGATCGCAAGTTGAAAAAGCTGTGCACGTGTGCAGTGTTTCACTAGGGGGTGCTAAAAGACTGTTTGGCCAAAATTTAAACTTGGACTTAAGATGAGGACAAGAAGACCTGTCCAACAAATTAAATATAATTACTTGTTACATAAAAAAAGAAGGAACAAGGGGCATCTTGTTTATTTTTCTTCCCCAACTTATACCAAAACTGCAACTCTCCTGTAATTGCCCTTCATTAGGGGGAAAGTTTTTATGGCTTACTTGGTTCTCCCTTCTCAGCTGGACACACATCTCCTTCTGCTGCTCACCCTCTTTCTGCAGACTTTCCTTTTCACTCTCCAGCTCTTCCTTCTCCTGCTGTAGGAGGGCTATTTTCCTGACCAGCTCATCTTTCTCCCTCTGAGCTTCTTCCACCTTTTGCTGAACAAAAATATTGGGAAAAACAGCTTGAGATGTTTGAGCCATGTTTCACTTTCACCTGCATATTGATATTGATGACGATGATGATGATGATGATGATGACAATGACAGTGATGAGGATGAAAGACACTACCTCCAGAAAGCCAGCCTTGGTGGTGACCACAAGGATGTCCGAGTTGCCTTCGTCTTCCACTGTCAGGAGGTCGTCCTCTGAAGGGCTATTGGCCCTGAACTGAAAGGGCGTGCTGGCTCCACGGATCTCACCTTTGTAGGTTACGTAACAAAACTGATAGAACTCGCTGTCATCGTTAGGAACATAATATCCTGGTGGAGGGGGCATGACAGACAGTCAGTGAGCAGTCATACAGAGAAGCAGATGGGGGGAAAACCACAGTTAACAAAGTTGATAATTATACAGATATTTTTGGAAATTGTTGTACCGTTAACCTCAGAGTCTATTTCTGTGACTGTTGGCTGTTTTTTTTACTTTAGGGCTGAGTCATTCATTAGAGTCTTGTTATTCTAGGACTTTTTTGTGGATTACAACAGAAAGCTAAGAGTTTTCTATGTGTTTTAATCTGCATCTACCGGTTTTGTTGTATACCATGTGAATTCTTTTATATTTATTAATAATATTTAAAAGTCGATTTGATGAATACATATGCTTTCACTCCTCTGTGAGCATAAACAATTATTATCTAAAATTTATTAAACTTTGTTTAAATTCATTTTTAAAAATAGAGCACTTTGATTGAAATCATCAGATCATAAAGATACTGCTTTAATTTTTTTTTAATTTTAAGAAGATATGTAATTTTATTTTATTTTCATGTTTAAAGGTAAACCTAATAATATGTGGGCTCATATTTAAAAAAAAAAAAAAAACACCTGAATATTTCTCTTTGCCACTACTCAGTTTCTTATTCAACACTAAAGTTCTAACGATCCTCTGCATAAATACACACAGCCATTGCTTTTTTATGTATTTTTAAAGGTGTTAATGTTAAATAAATCTCTGGCAGGGTCTTACCCTGAAAGACCACTGTTCTGTTGACTGCCGTGCCTTCCACGTAGTTCTCAGGAAGAGGTGACCACAAAAATGTGTAATAGTCCCTCGCTGTGCTCCAACCAACCTGTGAGACATTGTGGGGAATTCATTCAAGCAGGAACTCAGACCACATCAGTGCGGCGTAATGAGAACGCAGGACTAACAGGAAGGCTTCCTAGAATCCACACTGCCACCTCCCAAATATCTCACACTGCATTATTACAGTAATCGTTAGGGTTTCCATCCAAATTGGGATGTGAGACTATGCCTCATGCAACTTTATGTCCAAGAATAACGATGGCTCCGTCTCCATGTGTGTGTGCTCCCTAGCCCCAGCCATGAATGGGCTCAAGTTTGTTAGCTGTAGCTACAACTCACTTTAAACAGGAAGAGTGAAATAGGTGAAAATTTTATACACGGGCAACATGAAAATGAAAACCAAAATGTAATTCTATGTATTTTATGTGTTGTTAACTGACGGCTGATGGGGAGGGAGTCCAGAAAATACATTTATTGCTCTAGCTCTGTGCCGTAAAACTGTCAGAGGAAATCAGAGTCACATTGAGGGGGCTGGCTTTTGGTGTAAGGCGCACACAGGCACACACAGGCTTCCACAACAAGCCCAGTCAAACAGGCCTATTACCACAGTCTCTGCAGCAAGACACACAGCTGTGTAATGCGTCTTTCAAATTCCTGGCTAAACTGTATCATGCACTTTTATCCTGACAGATCATTTATATTAAAAAAAATCCCTTCCCCCTGGAACATTTCTGGGAAGTTCTTTTCTTCTTTCTCACCTGTGTAGAAACAGCCTACAGCGACTACAGCTACTGCGGGTGTTCATCACAGCCACAGATAGACGGCCCTGCTGCTCCTAAACCCCCAATTGTTACCGGCACATTTCCTGCCACCAGCAGTAAAGAACAGGAAGCAATTAAAACATGCACCTAGTTAGTGAGTGTCATTACTGAGGACCAGTGTTCACCAGTCCACTCATTAGAGCTGCAGAGGTGGCGGTGGGTGGAAGCCCTGAGAGGAACTCTTTCACTCACAGCAGACTGTTCTGTAATGTGTATAAATAGGAGGAGGTGGAGAGAAACTTTCACTCAAATCGGACCGGTGACTCACGCAACAACATTGGCAATAAATCACAAAATATTTGAAAGGTTACCCGAAGGAACACATTTGTAATAACACAAAACAACATTTTTTCATCCTTACAGCAAGAAAACGCAAAACAGGAGCTTGTGGCAATGTTGCCACAGCATATAATGGATTATCAGTCAGACTGTGTAAACTCAGGAGGCAAGTTGCTCATGAATCATACAAAGGCTGTGCTTAGAGACAGGTTAATTATATTGCTGTTTTTAGTTTATCCAAGGCCTTTGTGACAACCTTTCCCCAGCAACATTCCTCTGTGTATCTGAGCTCATACAGAATGTTCTAGCATCAAAGAGCCAAAGGGCACTGTTGTTCATCAACAAATGAGAACTTGTTTCCAAACTATTTGTCACCAATTGAAAAAAATCTAGTTTTGGGAATACAATTACCTTATTGTATTATTATGTGTTACAACTTACTTTATTTTTACTTAAGTCATTATTATTTCAGTAGTAAGATTATTATTTGAAAGATGAATAAAATGTTGGAATAACTGTTCCGGGATGTAGTTAGAGGCTCAGGGGTCACGTGGGCAGAGACAAAACAAGCATAAGCCTCTTTTTCCACAGGCCAATTTACAGACCTGTGTTATTTTTTAATTTGTTATTTGAAGTTCTAAAAAAAACTTCCGAGCGTGCATTCAGATACATGTCGAACAGAATTCACTTTGAACTCTAGGATATTAGATGTCAAATTTCTTTCATCAGCTGTACTGATGCACAGCAGAGTGAAGCTTGGGGTTAAAAAAACACCAGTGCTGTCAGCAACAGCCGAGTCTCACCTGTAAATACATGCAAATGACGGCACAACAGGAGTTCCAGAGCTGGTTAACACTTTGGGCAGAATCTGAACCAGAAAGAACTGGTTGCAAAAATGCAGTATACAAGTTTAACTATATTTGCTTAAGCAAAGTAGCGTTGTAAAAAACAAATATTATTATTATTATTATTATATTACTTGTGCTACTGCATATTAGGAGGATGTTACTATTGCTTTGCCTGAAAGATCAATCTATAATGAGTTACTTATAACTCACATTAAATGCACAATAAAACTATAAAACTCTTAACACTTGCAGCACAAGCAGCAACTATTTTGACTCAAGATCAAGCACTTACGTTGAGAAATTGCAGGTGTTTTAGAACACTATGCAGGCAAACACAAGAACTTGGCACCAGCCCTTCATCAATCAGTGGTGCCAAGAACATTTACACAAGTTATGTTAAGAATCAGTTTTGTCAGTTGTCAGTATCGCCTAAGGCCAAACTTATAAAGATTCAACATTCAGTTACATTGGATATTGAAACCAATATTTAAAAAACCTCTAGATGGAACCGTACCTTAATAAAAGATAAGACACTTTTTTTTTCATTTTTAAACCTCCTGACCATTGTACTAGCATTAGTCAACAGTTTATATTTAACATTTTCCCACAACACAGAAGGAAGAAAAAATAAAGAACATTTTCAAATGGGAATTTTACAAAATTCTCTATCATGTCTGACCATCACATCTTTAGCCAACATTTGGCTGTTTATGTTAGCTGTAAACCTTTGATCTTACACAAACTAATAAAAAAAAGCCCAATGTTGGGAAAATGTGTGTGAAATGTGAGATATCATTGGCTGGCCCAATGTTGGGAAAAGAAAAATGTGTGAAATGTGAGATATCATTGGCTGCATACTTGACACACAGATACTTGACACACAGACAAATAAATATATAGTTACCTTAAATATGCCAACCCAGTCTTTTGGATGTGGTTTGATGAATTGTGTCAAAGTATAGTGACACTCCAGTGCAGCATGTGGCAGGTAACTCTTTCACACATTTTGGAAGATGACATGGGCAAAGTTTGATGTGTCCATGTTGTTGGTTAATAAAGTTCCATCCATGCACAGTGCCATAAATCACTCAGATGGAGCTACAAAGGTGAAAACAAACATATGTTAACTGTAAAAAATAATAACAACAATACAAAATAAACTAATAGCAATTATGTAACAAATTGAGATTAGACCCCAGGACTTAATCTATTGAAAGAAAACCTATTACGGAAAATATAAAGATCATCTTTACCTTCTTTATTTTGTTCTATTGTAGGTCTAAGAACAATCGGTGTTAAATGTATTGTACATGATTTTATACTTGCTCCGTTAAGGTAATTCTGGTTTTCATTCTGTTGTCATTGGGTCTCTAAGTAATGATATTTATAGGTCATAATAAACTAATGCAGCCCTGGATTTCACACAAAAATGATTAATCTGAACTTTGTTTGTTTTCACTTTGGTCGATAGACTTCTGGTCTAGACCCATTAGCCTGATGACTCACTTAGTACGGTATGACATGTCGAGAGTCAACTGTCCTGACTGAAACTGTTAGCAAAAATTAAGTACGCGCAGAGGCCTACTGTGGAAACAAGGATATCTGGCTAAGTTAGCCACATTGCTAACAGTCTACCTTTAATAAGAAAGTGACAGACGTAAAGAACAAGAACACGGACTGAGTGTGGGTAAAGATTGACGTGTTTCTTGTTAAGACGTTACCCTACGATCAAATGTTCCTTTAAACGAAACAGGTAATTATAGTTAGTGAATTTGCTTAACAACGCCACATCGTCCTGAATAAAAACACAACAGCAAAGCTATGAACTGGAGAACAAGATTAGCTGACGTAGCCTGGTAGCAACATGTTAACGACACAGATTCTCGACGACGCCTCCGAGTAAGCGCTGTCAAATGAGTTTTAACATAACGTTTATTAATTTAATCGTAAACTTACCCAGTTGCCATGTTGTCCAGACGCTTTAATTTAGGTGTATATAGAAAACAGTCGTTGACGCAGTTCAGTGCTTTCCCCAGTCCGCTTCCTGGAACAACAACATTACGTCATTTCCGTAAACGACCAAACGGGAATCCCACAAATTTAAAGAGCAAAAATAAACAGAAAGCAAAAAAATGGGAATTTATCATGTAAATTATGTATGGGACTGTGTCCTGTTTAAGTCAGTTACGTGGTGATTTTGAAATGATTAGTGTACAAGTCTAATACCTTATACGTGAAACACAAAGTCTTGGAAAAAAAAGATTGACTATATATATGAATATATTTAGTATATGCTGTGACTCTTAACCTTTTTTAAAAAATGAGTTTTTCGAGAAATTATAAAAATGTTGCTTTGTTATAAGAAAACTTGAGAGAATAGCAAAAGAGATATGATTCAAAAAAATTTAGTTTTTCGAGTGTCGAGATATGTTATAAGAAAACTCGAGAGAATAGCAAAAGAGATATGATTCAAAAGATATTGTGTGATACTTGTGAACACTAACAAAACTATACTATAAACTATAAAAATAAACCCTATCGTACAGCTTTCAACTGTATGAGTTCTCAAAATGTTTTTGTGCAATGAAACATTAACTACTTTCAGACAAGATAAAAGTAACGGTCAAACACATCTTGGTTTAACAAGTTATAAAGCCGCTAGAAGAAACTGTTGAGCCTGTTGCATTTACTTGCAGGTTTTGGTCAGAAAAATATGAAAAGGCATTTTATTTTGTTATTCATTTATTTATCATGACCTAAATTTGTAGCCAAATGCCAAACGTTGTTGAGCTTATTGGGAGTGTGTCCATAATAAAAATATTTTTTATTTTAATTTTTAAATCCAGTTAGAATATAAAAAAACAATATTAGGTTTTATAAGAAAAAATACTACATACATACTCAAACTATTTCTAGAAGGACTTTCTGTTAAAATGACAAACCTGTTATGTGTTAAATATTGGATAAATGTTGTGCGCACGCGTACTACAACCTTCAAGGGCAGTTCTACGTGACAAGTACGCCCATCCACTTCATTGGCTGAAAGGGAGATGTCGTGCTGCGCGTTCTGCTCCCTAATTGAACAAACCAACTGTCATTAGATGACGTATCCTTGCGTCATACGTAGACTCAGGAGGAAAGAAGCATGGCCGCGGTACTGAGAGGTTCTCGGTATCTAGTGGGGAGGTGTAGCAAGAATGTTGACTTTGTCTTTGGTAAGCCGTTTTAAACGCCACACTCGCGATATTCCAGACCGTAAAGGTATTTTGTATGAACTTAAGCAGTTCCCATTGAAAATGTATTCACATTAAAAGTGTTTAGGTAACATGTTTAAAGAAATGTTTGGCTAAATTGTTGCTTTGTGGAATGCTGTTGCTGGGACCTCCAGTTAACATATGTATAAATCGAATGTCTTGTGTCAAAAATCTCACGGTTAATCTTTTTCCACACTAAATTCTTAACGTGTACCAACCAGATTTAGAAACTCAGCCCTTCGTTAGTCTATCCCTCCTGTTTTTAGTTAGGGCTGATTATGTAACGTCAATGTCCCCGTGTCCTACAGAACACAGTCACCTTCCACATTTGAAAAAGAAAATTTTCAAGTGTTTGTTGAAATGAAAACTTCCCCTGTTTGTTGAAATGTCCTAAATAGTTTTTATCGGGCTTTCAAATGGTATGTGAATCAGCACGCATATTATATTAATCTATTTTTGTGTTTCTAATATTGAATTCAATTATAGTGTAAAATTGTTGTTTTTACTGTTTAGATACACTAGTAAAGCTATGTGATGTGAGAAAGTGTTATTATGACAAAGAATAGTGTTACTTGAAATGCGCCAAATGTGAGAAAGAAAGAAATATGCTCCGACCTTGTCGATTACATTTAATTACCCTAATGATCAAAATGCATTCATTATGTTCTAAATGAATTTGTAAAGTCTTCATCATTAAAGTGAAAAGACTTGACCTATTGAAAGACAATGTTCTTTAAAAGTAGCTGGAAACAACACCTATGTCAAGGTTTCTGATATAATAGTAAAAAAAATGCAGCTGTGGCTCATCCGCTACCTCTGCTGAAGTAATTTTCAAGTTCTGTGGTAAACAAAATGTAGGAACTGCAATCATGTTATAATGTTGTCATGTTTATATAATGAACATGGCAAAGTTGCAGTCTCATGGTGTTTCAGAACCATCAGAGAAGTTTATGATTGAAGGTAAATAATCTACACACAGTTGCCACTTTAACAGTGACACCTCAAAACAGTTTGTAGCTTGTCTTACACTCTCTCTCTAGGGGAGGGAATGTCTAGAAATCCTTGCAGCATCACTCAGCGTTTACTCTCTTATTACATACATGTATTTTAATGACAGATGATCTGTTGGAGTATGACATCTCTTGCCCTGGGTTGTTGTAGTCTCCACTAGGTCTATGGCCTCTAAGACACCTGTGGGCTTTATTGGTCTGGGCAATATGGGAAACCCCATGGCAAAGAACTTGCTGAAGAACGGGTATCCGATTATTGCAACAGATGTGTTTCCAGAATCCTGCAAAGAAGTACAAGAGCTGGGAGCCCAGGTCGGACAGTAAAAGTCATGTTTTACTGACAAGTTTTGTTTTTATTTCTATGTTTTGTTTTTGTTTTTTTTATCTCTGTGATTCCTGTGCATTTTCCCAGATTGTAGATAATCCTGCTGACGTTGCCGATAAGGTTGACCGTATAATTACGATGCTCCCGTCCAGTCCTAATGTCGTTGATGTGTACACAGGACCAAATGGCATCCTCAAGTAACTTTCTCTTTCCTCTTTTGTCATGGATAAAGTACGTGATATTACGTTGTTCTGGTATGTACTCATAAATTTACCTACAGAAAGGTGAAGAAAGGCTCCCTCCTCATTGACTCCAGCACCATCGACCCTTCAGTTTCAAAGGACATGGCTGGAGCAGCAGAGAAGATGGGTGCAGTTTTTATGGATGCCCCTGTATCAGGAGGTACATTTTAAAAACATACATTCATTACCTTTTTTTTTTTAAACTGCATATGTTGCTGCTACTATAGTAGAAGATGTTTTTTACTCGATGTCAGGGCGTTTTGACATTGTGAAATGTCTGAAGGGCATTCTGGATCATTTCCAGGGCAAATAGTCACATCCTTGTCTTTATGGCTGCTGCCTATGGAATTTATCTTTTGGCACAAAACATATTCAAACTGCTTCGTTTTCTTTGAGGATCCTTTTGGTCTGATTTTAACACATACTGCTGTGTTGTTGAAAGTCACTCAGTACGGAGGAAAAAAGAGAACACTTTGTAGTTTCTTGGGGCTGAAATGACTTGTGGAATACGCTTCACTGTTCCTGTACATATAGGAATCATATAGGAGAGCATGTGTTTTTCTTCAGTTAACATTAGATGATTGATAAAAATTCCCCATTATTGATTTTACTTATTGATTCAATTCCTGATAAATTATCTTATAGATTCTCAGTCAATTAGGAAATAAAAAAGTAATACAAATAGGTTAGTCTGAATACCTCAATAAATCGTATCATTGCCCTTGTATCATGATACATCATATCGTATCGCCAGGTTCTTGCCAATACACACTTCTATCAAGAGCAACCTGAGGCTGAGAAGTTAATAAGGCTGTGTCTGTGACAGCCAAACAGAAACTCGGCAGAAGCTTTTACAATCCTCTTTTTATGTTCTTGCAAACACTCATTGTATATTAGTAATTTAAATTCTATGAACGAATGTGACAATTCCTTAGTAACACAGAGGAACGCCTGACTGGAGGCACCGCAAACTTCGCTTAAATGTCGATGTAAATGTCAATATAGGACATGGATTTCCTCCAGGTTTCACAAATGTCACTTACACAACACAGGAGTGAGATCAAAACCTGTAGCAAAGTTTCTTTATTTAGTTAAGAGGTTTCCAGTTTCCTTAAACATTAGTTTAATGCCTTAATTTCCAAATAGTTCATTACATTAAAAACCTGATAAAGTAAATGGAGCACAGCTCAATGATCGATGCAGATGGTCACAAACTTTCAACACGTTGTAATTATTGAAATTGGACACTGTGAAATTCTGACGTCTGTGCAACCTAATTAGTTTTAAGTGACCCAGGGAGGTGTTGTGTGAGGCCGGTATGTTCATGTACCTACGTTTGTCTACGCAAATGTTTCCGACTGTTAACTGTACTCATCGGGGGTCTTTCCAGGCACCGTCTTGGGGGTCCATGTTGAAGTTGATTGAACTGGGCCCATATGTTAGAAAAGCCACTCTGTTTGAATGGAAGTCGGTCCATTTTATGGTCTGGCCCTCGAGATTAGTAATGATTTACACACACTTCCGCCCTGTGCTAGTGAACGCAGATTAAAGTTGTTCTGCTGTCTCCGTAGGTCTGTATCAACTTGTGTGTGTGTGTGTGTGTGTGTGTGTGTGTGGTATTCCTGCAGTTTAAATGGTGTCATTCTTTACTGTGTCACATCAATCACCCGACGTTTGCTCCCAAATGAAACTTTTTGAACATGTCACTCTGTCTTGTGGTCGGGCACAAATCAAAAGGGAAGCACAGTGGCCCAGCAGTGGCTGCTCCGCTCTGTGCGGTTAGTTCAGACACAAAGGCAAACACGGCGGTGGAGATGTAATTGAGACAGGATGTGTGTGTGTGGAGTAGGAGTAAAGACATATTGGTCATCTTAGAGTCTTTCTCCAGAGACTCTGAAATCCATCAAATAAAAACCACTGTGATTTTTGCAGTGAAGAATTCACTGAGGAATTTGTCTTAACTGGAAGTGATTGTAGTTTTCTATTTAATAACCGTTACTTCACCATATGTTGTGTTTGTCAAATGGCTGCTGCATGGGTCTTTCTGACAGTTTTTATTTTGTTTTTTTACAGGGTTTTTTTGTTTTGTTTTTTTAAGAGAACTGAAAGGGAACTTAAATATGGGTTAAGTGGTTGTCCTCAGAGCTGTAGTGGTGGCCGTGTTGCTGTTCTATGACATTGTCAATTGTTAGTATATATACATATATTTTATATATGTATGTACATGTGTGTTTGTATGTATATGCACTTGTGTATGTACCTTGATAAATCCAAAAATATTTACATCAAGGGCAACTGGATAGATTATTTTTATTTATTTATTTTTTGAAGACGTCTCGCCTCACCTTCAGTTCTGACTGACTACTGGGAGGTTAGTCCCTCTACTCTGTCCAGTTGCCCTCATTGTAACTATTGTAGGATAAAATGACCTGGATCACTGAGTACCTACACAGAAACCTTGATTAATGATTTCATATCAAAGCTTTGTCTTCAGTGAATCACTCCTGGCGTGTGTATGTCCACCACAGAGGAGTGGCTGTAAAGTCTAAGATGGTAATCTGTCCATGTAGCAGATTTACTGGTTTACCATGCATAACTATATTTGTTTTTGTCTTTCATTATCAGCTTCACACGCTAACTATTTATAGCAGAATGTTGATTAACTTCTTGGTAACCATGTGCCTGACACCTGGTTATGGTGTGACTCAGTTTTTAACCCTGTATGAAATCAAAGTCAAATGTTTAGATGGATTCAGAACAGCTGTTTTCTAAATGGAGACAGAGTTTTTAATAACACAGCTCCGTGTGAGCCGACGGAAAGAGCCAGTTGTCCTATTTCTGCCAAAGTACAAGACGTTATTAATATTTAAATGTTTTATTGGATACATTTGTCATGTACTCATTTTTATGATTTCAGAGTGATTACTATGAAACAGAAGCCAATGCATTAAAAACATGTCTGTTTATTATTATTTATTTATCCGGTTTCATATTAAAAGTATTTTTACTAAGCATGCTCACAGTTGGAGCTGCAGCAGAGGAAAGTAGTTGGGGAAAGTGAGGTCAGTACAGGTTGATGATAGTGTTAGTGGTCAGAAGGAGCACCTATGGTGTATCACAGGGTTCTGTCATTGAGTGTTAGTTTAATTGTAATTTAAATCATTAAATTTTGGTGTTTCCTCTTTTGACAATAATTAAAATCTGAACATACTATAACATACATAGAACATACATAATTTTGCTGTTGAAATAGCGTTTAGATTCATGCCCCCCATTGGGATCCGCCCCACACTTTGGAAACCTATGCTTCACTGCTGTGTGCAGTCACTGACCTGCAGTCATTGAACATTATAAATGTAATGGTACTGTACATTCATTTCTCTTTTATGGCCATTTAAATGATATGCACTCAAGACAACCAAAAGTGTTTCACAGTATATTGTGTAAAAATAAATGTGCTAATCATTGGGCCAAGTTATACTCACTGGAAGCATAGATACTCGAAGTAAACCTTGTGATGTTCACTTCCAGCTGTCACTTCCATCTGGTTTACTCTAAGAAACCGTTTTGTTCTTATTCCCAGGTGTTGGTGCTGCCAGTTCTGCCAAACTGACTTTTATGGTTGGAGGAGCAGAGGAGGAATTTACTGCGGCCAAAGAACTGCTCAGCTGCATGGGAGCTAACGTCGTGTACTGCGGTCAAGTCGGAACTGGACAGGTCTGAAATAATGTTGTGGATGTTGTATGTAATGATAGCAGTAGTCTCTTTTTTTTTTACCTCTTCCTGTGTGAATAAAGTCAATATTCATCTCTTTTTTGTGGATAATGTATGCTAATGTTTGTTTAACTCTGGCAGGCTGCTAAGATATGCAACAACATGCTCTTAGCCATTGGAATGATCGGTACTTCAGAGACGATGAACTTGGGGATCAGGTGAACTCTATTGGAAATCAACATTTATAAATGCATTTTTTCAATTAAAAAAAATTAAAAAGCAAATAAAATGTTTTTTTTCCCCCACAGACTCGGTCTCGATCCCAAACTTTTGGCCAAGATCCTGAACATGAGTTCGGGTCGGTGCTGGTCCAGTGACACCTACAACCCCGTACCAGGAGTTATGGAGGGAGTTCCCTCTGGAAATAACTACCAGGGAGGCTTCGGCACTCAGCTGATGGCTAAGGTCCGTTTAAAGTCATTTTACACTCCATTTCCTCGGCTGCCGTTTCAGTCTTTAGGGTTAGTGTTTCCACAGAGATTTCATCTCTAGGTTTGTCCACACCAATGTAGGTCGCCTCAATGTTTTAGAACCAAAACTGTTACTTGCTTTCATAATGTAATCATTTTTTTAAAACATGGAGTCAAATGTTGCCCACAACCTACACTTGAGTGACTGTTGAATAAAAGTTTGTCTGGTTACACGGATATGTACCAACGCAGTGAACCATAGCTTAGCTGCACGTTTATGGAAAAAAAAATGAAGAGAAAAAAATCCCACATTTTGACAAATGGTCGGTATGTCAACGGGTGGTTTGTTGCCTTAAAAGTTTTAATCATCAGCTCCATAAGTCTTTTTTTAATGTATGTTTGCTTTTCTCTTTTAGGACCTGGGGCTCGCACAGAACACGGCCACAAACACAAAAAGTCCCGTCCCCCTGGGCTCCTTAGCTCACCAGATCTACCGTATGATGTGTGCACGTGGTTATGCCAATAAAGATTTCTCCTCCGTTTTCCAGTTCCTGCGTGAGGAGGACAGCCAGTAACGGCAGCCTCCTCTGAGACCTGTCCCTGCTCAGGACTGTAGTGGTGAAGTTAGGGTGCCCATCACCCTGGGAACTTTCTTTCTTTTTCATTTTTTTTTAAATCTCTTATTGGTCAAAGTTGTGAATGATGAAGAGCTGTAATGAGCAGCAGATACTGTGAGCACTTCTCTCCCATCAGAATTGATCTTTTTCTGTGTGATCTTTGTAGGATAAACACTCCACTCAGATTTGATAGATAAGCGAGTTGTCAGAGAGCTAGATGAGGATTCAGAAATTCTGACAGACTGCTTTAGTGATGATGCGAACAATCGTGGAAATCTGTGATCTGAAATTATTATATCTGTGTGTCCAGACTGAACACCTTAGTCTCTGTATTTATCTGTTTGTCATTTCTTCATTTAGACTTTTTTTTTGTTTGTTTGTTTCATGTTATTTTTTTCTTGAACCTGAACTGTTACTTTAACACAACCATCTCGTACAAAACCCTGTTAGGAAATAAAAAACAAAAACAAATGGGGAAGTACTCTGTGTAAATATCATTTACTGCTCTTAAACAGCACCCGCTCTTAATGCTACTTGGTCCATGTTGTTCTAAATTGTGTGGAGGTAAGAAAATGATGTTGTCTGTTGTTCTTAACTGTTCCTTGATTTTTTTTTATTTTTTTTTACAGAGCCCAAAATAAGACTAACAGTTAGTAGTTGCTTTATAATGGAAACCCTTCAACATGTTCCTTGTTATACAGAAACAATTGTTTCTGCAAAATCCTGAAATGCCAAAATAGCAATCTGAATCATAGGAAAGAAACTTATTTCAGCCTCAGAATAACCCAGGTGTGTGTGAAACACTCCAGTGTTTAAACCTTGTTTCAGACCAAGCAAAACACGTAATAACTCTAAAAGAAGAGCAGACAAAAGTGGTTAAAATGTGGTTTGGTCATTTTATGTTGAACTATACACAGTATTTGACCCAAAGAAGCTGCAACACTGGAGAAAATTCAATATTTATTTGAACCCTTTTAGCTGAGTTGTTCACTCAAACCCTATTGGCTCTCGTCACCTTGTGCCGTCTATTAATAATTGGACAGAATCTTGAAAGGAATCTCACTGTAAAGACCAAAGGTAGAAACTACTGCTGAATGTGTCTGACCTTTGAACTCCCAGGTGTTGTTGCATCCTTGTTCTGCCTTGATGAATGCCTTATTTTTGCTTAAACTTACAGGTTGTACTCACCACACAGTATAAATAAATAAATAACCAGACTGTAAACAACAGGAGGAGCGAAACTAATATTTGGTTCATGTGAAATTGGTTTCGTTACAGAGTTGAGCTTCATGATGAAGATGGGAGTCAGACAATATGGCCCCCCAGTCAGGAGAAACTTGTTTCTTGGGAAAGAAAAGGTAAATATGACCAGTGGTGCCCCAGAGGGTGACCGCTATCACCTTTGAAATGAAATGTTGTTTACATAAGGAATAGCACCCCCAGTGGAGAGTTGGGCCCCTGTGGCCACACAAGTATATTTGTTTACGGAAGAGAAGCTGAATATTTCAATATAAAAGAAAAAAGAAAAATTGACTGTGGCTGCTTTACATGTGTACTTCAACTCCAGTGGTTTGTCTAATCTGTAAGGTTCATATTGTCCTTTTTACCAAAGAAAAGTTGAGGCCAAAGCTCAGAAAATAATGTGTTTTGGACGCATTTATTAGCTCCAGTAAGACTAAAGGTAGTCGGGAAAGTTCTTTTTGTGCCACACTCAAATTTTCATTGGCCACATCTGACCAACCTGTGAGCATTTTTTTATTTGGGATGGAGATGCCTTTAGATCAGTAGAAGTGTAGCAGTTTTTGGAGTTTGTTAGTATATTGTATGACTTCTTTTGTTTGTGTTTTTTTTTTCTTTGCTTTTTTATGGCTAGACAATTCTATTCACCTTTTTTTATTGTTTTTTTTTAGTTCTCCTGGGGGAGCTGGTGCCAACCACAGATACGGTCATTGATGGTGAGGTCACTCTGGTCCAATGCAGGGCCACATTCACACACATTCACACTCATCTTTAGCCATAGTCAGTTATGTGGAAATATTAGGTTCATGTTTAGCAAAAACTTTTAGTGACTTAAACAATAGTTTTTTTGTGGGGGCGTTTGCCTAAAGAATAAAAGTTGTAAAACAAATTTCACTTTATTTTACATTATTTGAATAGCATCTTCTTTTAATCCAGTCTAAGTTACACTTACTAATTGCCCTCGTCTCCAAACTGCCTAAACTCAGTTGCGCCGCAACTTTTGTGCGGATACGGCGTAAATAACTACTTACCCACGGCCTCACTGAGGAAAACAGAGCAGTTAAAAATCTTTAAAACCGTGCGTTTTTGGACACGCACTGCTTTGCTAAATGGCTCCCAAATGTTCTGCTCTGCACGTCGTGTCCCACTGGTTCAATAGAGGAGATAAAAATCTGCTCAGACTCATTTCCCTCCAGGATCAGCCTGGATCAGCAGGGTGGGAATCCACAGACACAGCCGCTGGAATCCTCTCGACCTGCTTAGGTAGGAAACTTTAAAATTAAAATTAATGTGCATGCAAAATGTACAAACCACAGTTATCAGTGGTTCGGCCTGTAGGTACCTCCCCACCCCCCAAAACGGACAAATCCACCAGCGTCGGGGCCGCGGCTCAGGGTCTGAACACAGAGATCTGGGACTCTTCCTCCTTCTGTCCCACTTTTGGGCAGATTAAGAGGGCGGTGAGTTTCTGGTGTGTTCTGTCAGGAGCCACTGAGGGGCCACAGGTGCCACAGGTCATGCGATCACAGGACTGAGTCATAAAAAGTCCATTAAGCACTGGAGTCTGAGAGCTGTGTTGTCATCTGCTTGATAGGTCCTGCAAACAGAACAGAGCTTTGGTCTGGGAGGCCTGCAGCACACACACACACACACACACACACACACACACACACACACACACACACACACACACACACACACACACTGACATCATGTGCATGTCAGACCTCCTCATTTGTATAATCCAATAGTCTGATTTGTCTTTTTTTTTTTACCTCTGTGATGAAACCTGGCGTCTGTTGTTTTGTAGAATAATTTAATTCAGGTGTTTTAAATCAGAAATAGTTTTTCGTACACTGTTCATAAAACTTTTTTTTTGTTTTTTATTTATATTTTGCATTTTAAGCTTACACAGTGAGTTATTTCCTGCCCCGCTTTCGATACACCGAATCCCGTTGTTGTTTTGTTAAAATATTCGATCTTAACGTTTTAAAATAATCACAAACGGTTTCTGAGGTTTGAATCAAATGCGCAAAATGTTTCACTCACGTTTGTCTTGAATTCGGCTTATTGTTTGATTACTTCAATGACATGTTGGAATAATTAAATGTGTATTTGTACCCACGGTCACGTGGTTTTGTATGAATCTACCGGATATTCTAATGATAAACTGACAAAACTGAGATTGAACATAATATAAATATGTGTTTTGTTAAGATCGGTGTCTGTTTAATTATATTAACTAATGAGTTCACGAATTAAAAAATCATATGGAAGTTTCTAAACCATAGAATGAGCCATAGCTGTTGAACCAGTATTAAAATGACAGCGTTTAATGTTTAAACAAGGCGCCGTGGACAACACTCTTTAATAGTAGTATTAAATGTATATTTTAAAAAGTTTGATATTTTTATTCAAATATAGTTTTTTAGTTTGTAAATAAAACTACTCCTGAACACAGTGGTATTCAGGATGGAGGTTGTTTGGCCTGGAGTGGACAGACCACTTCTCCCCCACTCCTGACTAACAGCTATGAACTTGGGCCATAAAGATTTACAGCCTCAAAAGGTGGGAAAACGCCATTAAAAATAAAAATGTGCCCACGTTTAGTTGGAGGACATTCCTCTGGGTATCTACTGAGGGGGGGTTAAATGGGAGGATGTTTAGACGTTAAATTAGTTTTGTTTAATTGGTAGAATATAAGATTATTCCTAAATACAAACAGTACGCATTTTACACAAGTAGAAAGAAAAGAAAGAGACATTAACGTAAAAAAAAAATACCCCAGAATATATATTTATGCAGAAAAAAGTGCAATTGTCGATGGAACCGTTTCAACTGTGATCTTTTTCACATTCAATTGACAAATATTTAAAAAAAAATACAACACCGTCGTAAAGAAAAACCCAAATGTTCAGACTTTGGTTCGAATCCTCTTCTTGGTCTCAGCTGTCAGTGTTTTCTCTCTGTTCTTTTTTTAAAACAAACGCCCCGTTTTTGCTGTTTTTGTCCAGGCTGAAACGTTCAACTTGACCTTTGGCCTCGGACCTGAGTCAAAGCCTTCAGTGTCCGGCTCTGGTTCTTTTAGAAACACAGAATAGATTCCACATCGTATTTAATACGATCAGAATTAAATCGATTTATTTTGTAAATTTTAAAAGGATATGTATTGAATTTTAGCACAAATTCCGTTCAAATGGTTTGCGGCATCTCCGTGGCGCAAAGTTAAAAATTAAATCTGTCCGTCGTGTTTTTAAACCTGTAGCGTCTTTGTTTGTATTTCCTCACATTTTAAACATTTTAAATTGAAGACAATTTTTTGTAACACCATTTCACATATTTGTTCTGCTTAAATAACCATTTGGAGGCGTAATAACAACCTTGCCCTGTGCGTAATTACGCACCATGTGCGTTGACAATAAAAACAAATCAAATTAATTCTGTTCTTACGTCGTGTATATAACTGTATAACTATAATCACAGCAACATGTTATCTTTGGGGATGGTCGCCACATCACAGCTGTTACTCTGTTCCACGTTCAGCCTCAAAAAATGATGGAAAAAAATACACAGGATGTTCTGCTTACACACACACACACATCCACACACACACACACCCACACACACACACACCCACACACACACACACCCACACACACACACACACCCACACACACACACACACATCCACACACACACACACACATCCACACACACACACACACCCACACACACACACACCCACACACACACACACACACTCGGCTTGATGTGTTTTATCTGAAGTCTGCACTTTTATCGTCTCCTTTGCATATCACGTGCTTGGCCCTGGCCAATAACCTCACGATGTGTGGTGTGCGTTGGTTATCGTTACTCCGCCGGAGCTCCTGTCTCCGCTCATTCGAGTGCGTTTTGAAAAAGGGCTGGTCGTCTCATGTGTAGGACATGCTATGACCGCCTCACTGCTGCTGCACTCGCACTGGGTTGACCCGGTGATGTTCCTCTACGACAACGCTTTGGAGGACAGGAGCAAGAACATGGACGGATTCACTGGAGGCAACTTCGCCGCGAACCAGTGCAGGAATCTGTTGGCGCATCCGACCTCGCTGGCGCCCAGCACCACCTACACCTCCAGCGAGGTGCCAGCCTCTGGCATGGGGGAGCCTGGCAAACAGTGCAGCCCCTGTTCCGCCACCCAGAGCTCGCCCAACGCCTCTCTGCCCTACGGATATTTTGGCAGCACCTACAGTTACCCGTGCCGGATGTCACACGGGAGCGTCAAGGCTTGTGCGCAGTCCTCCGGCTACGGCGACAAATACATGGACTCACAAGTGTCAGGAGAGGAGTTCTCCAGCAGGGCCAAAGAATTCGCCTTCTACCAGGGTTACTCCTCCGCCCCGTATCAGCCCAGTTACCTGGACGTGCCCGTGGTGCCGGCGCTCAGTGCGGCTCCGACCGAGCCCAGACACGAGTCCCTGCTGCCCATGGAGCCCTCCTACCAGCCGTGGGCCATCACCAACGGCTGGAGCGGTCAAGTTTACTGCAGCAAGGAGCAGCCACAGTCAAATCCACTGTGGAAATCCTCGCTACAGGGTAAATACTGGACATACTGGTTTATAATAATAATAACAATAATAATAATAATAATAATATGGAAGTGAATGAAACACGGTTTTAAGATCACAACAGGATCAAACATATTTATTGTAAACAAAAGGTTGTGAATTGACATTACACAAAGAAGAAAACAAAATAAATACAAATAAAAAAACTATAATATATATAAAGATAAAATTACATGGTCATAAGAATTTTTTGTTTTTGTTAAATTGGATTTATAAATATTCACACTTGGAGTTGACGTGTGCAGCACAGCAGTCAAATGCTGTTTCTCCAGAGTTTCCAGCAGACATTATTCACTTCAGTCATTTAATTTGATCTTCTCATCCCTGATGACATGAATTCATATGTTGATTCTGTGGAAATCCTTGTTACAAGGTTAAAAAAATGGCCACCCTTTCAAAAATAAATTTGCAATTTGCACAAGTGTCTATATTACTGCGTATATTAAAAATAAATAAAAGTAAAAAATGTGTCTTCAGATTAAAATATTATATATATTTTTTTCTAGAGTCCATATCTGGGGGAGACAGCTCCATCCGCCGTGGGAGGAAGAAGCGTGTGCCCTACACCAAGGTGCAGCTGAAGGAGCTGGAGAGGGAGTACGTCACCAATAAATTCATCACCAAGGACAAGAGGAGACGGATATCAGCGCAGACCAATCTGACAGAGAGACAAGTGACTATCTGGTTCCAGAACCGACGCGTTAAGGAGAAGAAAGTCGTTAATAAGTTCAAGGGCTCCAGTTAGCGTGGGGACAAGAGGACAGGAGGTGACGAGTGGGACACGGACCAGCTTCAATTCCTCAGAAACTCTGCGATAATTTATTATAATATGAGACTTTTTTTTCTCCTTTGACGCCAGATGGGCTCTGCTTTTTACGCACACGGTTCCTTCCTTCCTGTGCATTTAATTGGAACCAGAACACGCGGCCTGTTGACAGGAGATGGAACTGGTTTGAAACACGTTCACCAGGGCTTTTCTGATGTGGATGTGTGATCTTTAAAAAACAAAAACCGAAAAACAATCCAACAAATCAAATCAAACTTTCAGCCTCGAGGTCTTTGAACACAGATCATCTCTGATCGAGTCCAGAAATTAAACCTGGAATCTTAGGATCGATTGGGACTTTGGTGCCAAGTCGTGACCATGGCGGAGTACAGGCAAAAGAAATCTAAAAAGAAAAACAAAAAACAAACAAAAAAAAACCCAGCCAACCAAACAAACAAACAAAAAACTTAAATATTTTCACACCAGAGCTGATAATATACATTAAACATTTATAGCATTTTTATTTTTTTTTATTTTTCTAAACATAAATAATTAATTTAACTTCACATTTCGTCCGACCAAATACCTTAAACTCCAATAATTTAATTTCATCTCTTAAAGTTTTGTGTTTTGTGATAAAAAAACAACAACAATCTGACCAGGTTGATTCAGATCGTCAGGTTTCAAATGTAACTTATGTCTGTTGGTCAACAGTTTTTTTTTTCTCTTTTAAGAAAGGAAGTAAAATTTGTTCTCATATTTAAGTACTATTGTAAATACTACCTGAATCCAGTTTATCTATTTTCCTCATTTTTATTGCAGTAGTCACACGTTTTTGACAATAAATGTTTGAGAGACGGCGCTGTGAACTTGTCACTTTTATTCAGGTTTTTTCGGGGCAATAATGGACGAACCGGAAGTTTGGTTAAATTCGATTAAATGTTTTACTTTTTTTAAACCCGTGATGAACCAGTAATAGTCAAAATAGTTATAATTTAATCTACAGTCTCTGTGAAGTTTGTGGCCTTCAGGGCACGTTGCTACTGAGGCTGAATAGTGCCATCTAGTGGTGAAAGTGTGACAACACAAATCTGACGACGGCTGACATTTTTTTAAGCTCTATTCCTTTCAGATCTACTGCACTTTCTTTGCCAATATAAATATAAGCTTATGTAATGTAGTTGTATTTTACTGAGGACAGAAGGTTTAATGCTACAACCTGTCTGAATAGTTGAAGGTCAGCCAAAAATACAAACTAAAAACCTGTGAGGCAAAACAAGAGCAATCGTTGCTTAAGTGTGGCCAAACGTTTAAAGGCTAGTTAAAAGTAATTACAGGAATCCAAACAAATGTCAAATGTCTCTTTAAAATAAAAGTTATAGCTAAAAGTAAAAAACGAATTTAACGTGATGCAAAATAAACCGAAACTATGCAAAAAATAGCTATTAACTACTTCGAAATGTGAAAAGATTAGCTACAAAAGATACAAAATAGATACAAATATTAACACCAAAGTTAAAATATATTAAAGCCCTATAATTAAATTTAAAAAATGAAACTTTTTTTGAAGTTGATTAGATGAATGTTCTAGAATGCCATCGAAAATGATTGGGTCTTAACGTAAAGTGATAGTTATTAGTTTTAAAGGAGTTCCACGTGGTTAAGATGACCTTGATATTGCTTGTGATTAGGATATTAATGTAAGCACTAAAAGTCTCTTAAAGAGTTTTAATGACAATATTTATTATTTTTGTTGCTATTGAATTTTTACTGGGTTGAATTGTGGAAAAAAATGTTTTTACTTCAGGCATATTTGACATTTTAAATAATTTTAAGTTCTTCATTTTTCGGGGGGTGTAAAAAGAAATTCATAGAAAAAGTACTTAAATTAAATTATAGTTCCGGAGGTTTATGGATATATCCTTTCAAGTTAGCCCAGTAAAAATATAGACTGTAACACCACGTTAGTATTATATAGTGAACCTTCATGTTGTAAAACGATGCTGATTCTCCCAGAACAGTAATTGCGTCATTAGCTTATTTCTACGCAATTTATTTGTTTTTATAACCACGAATCACGTGAATAACTGTCTGCTCAGTCGTGTCCAAGCGTGTTTGTCTGCGCTAAAGACGAATAATATTCTCAAGTGCATAAACAACATTTTTGGTCCTGGATATTTTTGGTCTGTTCTGTAATCCCTATCTCACTGATTGCTCTTAAAGTAACAGTACACCGTAGTTTAATGCGTTTTATGAAGTGAAAAGTACTCTACTACTCTACTACTACCTTCAGTGTCCAGCTCCAGGTCTCCACACACCTTCTGTCCACTCTGCTTGGCTTTGACCATTAGTCCGTGCCATAAAAGGAGCTCCGTGTTGTTGTCAGTCTCCCAGCACACATTTACCTAACAATAGACAGACAACGTTAACACTGCACGCAGTTGGAGCTCCGACTGATGAAACAGTCTGTAGACGACAGAGCCTTCAACTGTCTGGGAATGTGGATCAATCTGTACTTTATTTGAACGGAATTTACCCATGGAATTAGTCTCTTTGTGTGCGTTTAGGGGTGGGATGGGGTTTTATTTTTCAAAATTGTAACACAACATGTCCAGCTAGGCTTCTGTAGCAGACACACAACCCCCATGTTGTTTTAAACTATTTGAAGAATGACGTATTTGTTGATATCATGTTAGCTGCGTTATAGACTATGGAGAAACTCGGTTCAAAGGTGACTAAAAGTGATTTAAAGTGGAGCAAAGGAAATAAAAGTACACACAGCAAAATTCTAGTAGTAGTTGCTAGTTAATTTAGTTAAAAGTCGTCCGAATATAAAGCACAAAAGCTATAGTTTAGTTAGTTAACGGTATGCTAGTTAGCGAAGAAAACGGTGAAGGTTAGGTTAAATAGCTCCTGCTAAGCTATCACAGCTCCAAAATATTAGATTAAAATTGGAATTATGCTTGTTTGGACCAAAATATTAAGTATAGATATGCAATAAATATCAACCAAAAATCTATGTTGGTAACGGGAGATATTTGAAATAATAATATTTCGAGATATCAACCAAAAAAACGTTTATATTCCAAAATACTATAAAAATCTATGTTGGTAACGGAGATATTTGAAATAATAATATTTCGAACATAATAACAACAGTAATAGTTATAATAATAAACAAGAGATGACGCTAATAGTAAATTTAGCAAAATATTTCACACCAAGCCATAAAAAGACAAAATAATTACAAGAAAATATCAATCAATTTAAATGCTGTAAAACAGGGATCTGAAGTAAATGTTTCGGTCACTGTTGTTAATAGTGTTCTGTAATGAACACTTCAGGTCTTCCTTGTTGGTTTCTCTGCAGAGGTTATAGTAATTAGTTCTCCTGTGTCATTGCGCCCCCTATCAGTTTAACACAAGGATGCATGTGACTCCACTGTCACTGTGCTGCTACTTCAGACCTGAGGAGCGACGTTATACAAGTCAATGAAAATTAAATATTATAAATAGTAGTGAACAGTTCATAGAAATTATACTTTTGGGTGGATTTTGTTATTTATTACACATTCAAAACACCCGGAACAGAATATTTAGTGCTATAAAATCATAGTACAATAAAGCTATTGTAAGAAAATAAAAGCAATGCAAAATGAAACACATGGACATGGACTAAAATAGACATAAAGCAAAAGTCGTGTTAAAATACCATCGTCACCAAAATTAAGTAAAGTTAAAGTTAAAATTATGTTAAAAATAGTATTAAAAAAGTCAAAGTAATGCAAAAACAAATAGGCCAATAAATTAAAAAATAAAATAAAGTTGTGATAAAACAAAGGAAAAAAGAAAACATAGAAAAGCATTCATGTCAGCCTTTCAAAAATAAGCACAGCAATAACTACGAGGTCTTCGTGTGTCGTGTGTCTCTGTTGATGTGAGGCTGAACCTTACAGTGAACTTCAGACACAACTAGAAACTTTCAAACTCAAAGGCATCGGTGAAATAAAACGTCCAGCAGAGCAAACCGTCTCCAAACAAACAAACAAAAATGAAGAAATACCATTTTGTGCCTGAACGGGCGCTGTTGTGCAGATTTGGAAAGTTTTATTTAGCTTTTTAAGTCGTGTTTTACTGCAGCCTCAGCTGTTAACCACCCCACACCCACCAGGACCAAATAGTATCCTGCATCCGGAGAGACCCCCACTAACTCCCCCGCAGCCCCTCCATCCTCTCGAACCCTGCACTACCTCCTCCTCCTCCTCCCCTTCACCCTCCTCTTGTTCCTCCTCCTTCTCCTCCTCTGAACCCCAGGTGCTGTCAGAATGGAGCTTCAGTCTTTCTCATGTCCGGGACATGAAACTGTCAGGTCATAGCTGTCTTCATCCTCTCTGTCCACATGTGTTGGACACGTTGTTCCTCAGATCATTTCTTCAAAACATAGGCCTTACACAGCGGGCGGGTCCACGACCCCTAGGGGGTCCATGGAGGTACTTCAGGAGAGTCGTGACTTTATTTTTATTTTTCACTTGATTTGATTAAAAAATAGTTTGCATCATTTATTTTACTGTTGATTATTGTTTTTGCTGTGTTTTAAAAGGTAAAACAAATGTATGAACCTGGGTAGAGTTAACTACTACACTTTAAATTCAAGATAGGTTTGTACACGGCCCCGTTTCTTAAAATACGCAGCTTTATGTAAAATACAAGCTCCCCAGTTTTAGGGTGATTAACCTGGAAACAGTGAAAACCCCTATTCTAAATAAAATGATCATCTAACAGGCAGATGTTCCAAGTTTGACCACACGTTGAACGAATGTGGAGTAAAATTGTGTCTTGGCCTAAAATTATAGTCATTTAAATTATCAAGGCTTTTTGCAAATCTGTTTTTTTTAAACACTGTTGGTAAATACTTTGTTGTTAACGTTTTCTTCCCCAGGTTTTTATTTGTATTTTAATTCTAGTTTGTCCAATTAGAATAGGGATATCAGCGAATCGAGTCGCGTCGTCGTGAAATCACCATTTTGTGGTTGTACAATTTTAAGATACTATTGTTTGTCGCCTAAATATTCGTCGATTATTCGTTCACTGTTCGAAAAGCATCAACAATGAAGCGCAGCCGCAGGCCTTTGGTATTACCACGACACATGGAAGTTCAAAGAGAGCAGGATGCCTTCAAGGTTTTTTTTTTTTAAGAATAAACCCATTCATTTCAGCTCAATTGTTCACGTCTATACAATCCATACAATACTTCTTTATCTCTCGAACTCTCCTCATTTAAGTCATTACTGTTAATGTGTTTTCTGTTTATTTTTATTTTATTTTCGATATTCACAGTGACTCAGACAACCCGAACACGTGTGCAGTTATAAGAAAATAAAAAATAAGCACAAATGGGGAAAAACAAGATAAATGAAACTTTCAGAGTAAATTCTGTATAACTAATTGTATGTAACATTTTAAGGAGAAAACAATGGTAAAAAAATAACTCAAATGTCTTAAAATAAATAGTTAGGTAGTTAATGAATTGTTTAAAAATAGTGTAGCATTATGTCACAAGTCACAATTTAGCGTCAAATCAAGGGAGGATTAAAATTTAGCCAAAACATTGCTGAAAAGCTAGAAATGATTAAGTCAGCCGTGTTAGAGTAACATAAATATAGCTAATAATAATAATAATTATTAGCCCCGTCGCCTCCGCATCACTTGAAAAGGACATGATATATAGAAAAAAAATGCACGAATTAAAAAGAGTGCTTTAATAATTGCTATTTAAATATTCAAACAGCAAAATATACAAACAATAATTTACAACAGAAAAATTACCAATTACCAATAATTTTCTTTTATATAAAAATACTACTGGAATCCTTTTGTTTAATAAATACCTCTGCATAAATAATTTAATTTATTATACAAATAAATTTAGTGTCTTTTTAGTACCGGAAATACTTCATTCATTTATCATTTAACAACACTCTCTAAACGTACAGGGGGAACTGTAATAGTAATACTGAAAGTAATAACAATAACCCATCACTACCGGCCCAGAACAATACTGACCCCCGTTGTAATGACGTCATGGTATCAGAATATTTGACAACAAAATGCACCACGTGACGCTGTGGTGCAATATACACATGAAAGGTTTGATTCTGATTGGTTTTCTGTTCTATTCTATTCTGTGGCACATGACTCATCCTGTGGTGTGTGAGGAGAGCATGTGTTGTACACTGTGAAATCAGTCAGTGTCAGTGACACGTCCCACATGTGTCCACTCAGCACTCATGACAAATGAGACCGGGCTCGGACAGTGGACAAACAGCCCGTGTCCAACGCTGTATATGGACCGTTTCAGACTCAGAGAGAGTGTGGAGCTTGGCCGCGTCATCGTGGGCGAATACTTTTATTATTCATAGTCTATAAACAGCAGAGCCGTGTTTACATTCAACATTAAACCTGACTGCCTGTGTATCTCAGCTGATTAGTCTCACGTCCAACTCCACTGCAGCTCTGGCCACTTGGCTTTTATTTCTACACAAGTGCGTCTGCAGGTTGGACGCCTCGGTGCAGACACGCGGGGTAAATAAACTCATAACGTGGGGTGTTTAAACTTCTCCTTCCCACCAGGGACCGGGGTTGACGGTGCAAACACACCAACAGGCCAACGGCTCTTACTTCGTGGTGTTTTACGGTGTGTAATACGTAATATACTGTTGTTTAATTCCTCTCTTATAATTATTGTTGCATTTCTGGTGCATTTTGGGTAATGTGACGTAAGGAATTAGGGTTGGAGTCAGTCTTTAACTCACGAGGCACTGACGCATTGCTAGTAAAGGAAACTGGTGTCATCAACATACCGGTGAAACTAAGTTCCAAGAAAGTCAAGTGTAACTAAAAGACTAAATGTATCCTAATGATATCCGAGTTAGGCCACGTTTCTGAAAGTTCTATTAAAATAAAAAAGTTGGAAAAAGCTCAATAAACTCAATCAATAAATTGATTAATAGAAAAACTACAAAACTACAAATTAATCTATTTAAATAAATAATAAAAATATACATTACAAAGGTGCTAGAAGTAAAATAATTAATTAAAATCCCTTATGTTATTCAAATGTAATATAAAAGTTAGCAAGGCAAAAAAAATAATAATACACATGGAAAAAACAAAACCCCTAAAATATGGAAAAATAATTCAAATTTGTTGTATAGTCAGTAAAAATGGACCAAAGTCTATCAAACAATTTAATTACCAATACATTCAAAAATAAAAATAAATATTTTAAACAACATTGATAAGTCCAAAGTCGTATAATACTAATATAATATATGAAATTAAAATGGCCACATAAACAACATTTGTTTAGTGAAAGATAAATGTTAGTTAAAATAAAATACAATTAGACAGAAGAGCTAAAGGATTATTAGTAGAATTTCAATATTTAGCATTGTGTTAATTGAACGTCCAGAAACAAAAACCTTACAAATGTGAACGAAATACCTTAGCCCAAGTAGCATCAATAATAAGAGCTAGCTGGCATATAATGTTTATAAATCATCAAGTGATTACTCCCAAAAACGATAAGTCACGTTAAATAAAGAAATATTATAATAAACAGATCCCGTACAGGTACAATGACTGGTCCCCGGACCAGACTTTGAGCCACCTGATACATCAGTAGAAGTGAAACGTGAGACTGACATTCATTAGCTAGATTTAGTGGGTGAATAAGTATTTTTGATACGGCTGTAAAAAAGCTTTGTTAAAAGCCATCTTGGCCAAGTCTTCTAGAAAAAAAAAAGAAAAAAAAGGATGTTCAGTCCCTGCTGAAATGATAGCATTCAACACAAATAGACAATAAAAAAACTAGCAGGATTTAAGGATTTGGCAGGATCTTCTATTAGCACTTAGCTGCCATTCTTTTATGGTAATGATCAGACTGTTGCTGCAGTCGGCGACACAGGAACAATGAGAGGCTGTAGACTGTAGAGCCTGCCTTCATCCAGCCCATTGTCTTTGTCCTCCTCCCTGCATGTGCCAGACAGGAGTGAAGTGCAGCAGGACCAGCGCTGCTCCACCGCCAGATTGCTCTATAAATAGCTGTTGGAGCAGCGCAATATTCACACCCGCCGTGACTGTGGATGCATACCACTGTCCTCGGTGATGAAATGATGGAAAACGATGGAGGCATCGCTGCATATGTGCATGCACACCCGGCCAAATAGATGTGTTTCAAATCACGCAGACGTCTGAGCAGAGGTTAAGGTTAGGGTTAAGGTGAGGGGTTGGTACATTTAATCTCTAGAATCCCTAATTAGATCCGTACTGCTGTGTGTGAGTGTGTGTGTGTGTGTTTGTGTCTAATTGTGCAGATGATTGTGTGATGTGATGTGGCCCATCGAGGATCACAGTCTAGACATTACTCTGAGTCTAAATGGTTGGAGAGGAACCCACATTTGAGGTGGAAGCTCTTTTGTAAAAAAAACAGCCCAAACGTGGGTCGATTCTCAGTATTTTCCTTCCCAGTGCAGTCTGAGGTCCTCTTCATAAAGTCATTGACTCATATAGTCTACTACACGTCGAGGCGTAGGCTATCTGTCATTTTGTGCCAGTGGTCACATGGCTTTGGCCCTCAGGAATGGATAGACATGGATCCCCACGTCAGCCTGTAGGTCTAAGGATTCCTGCTCCAGCACTCAGGCTCAAAGTGGCTGAGGCGCAGCTCCGCGGAGGAACTATGCGAGCGGGATTATACTAGGACGCGTCCTACAGCAGAATATGGATTTTGATGAGCGGATCTCTGGCTCCAACATGTATCTACCCAGCTGCACTTACTACGTCTCCGGAGCAGACTTCTCGGGGATCCCCCATTATTTAACCCAGAGCCAGTCTTCTTGCCCCATGACGTACTCCTACCAGTCCTCAGCCCTGCCACAGGTCCCGTCCGTCAGGGACGTGGCTTTCAGAGACTATGGCATTGACAGCTCCAGTAAATGGCACCACGGCAGAGGGAGCCTGTCTCACTGCTACCCCGAGGACGTGGTGCACAGCAGGGACAGCTGGAGCAGCCCGGGCGCACGGGGAGTAGAGACACTCGTGAAAGGCGCCTCTGTCGCCGGGCACTCCAGCTCCTCGAACCCAGCGCCGGGCTTTTATGGCACGGTTGGCAGGAACGGAGTCCTGCCCCAGGCGTTCGACCAGTTCTTCGACACAGCCTACGGGAGCGCGGAGAACGCAACGACGGCGACGGCGCACAGCGCGGACGCCGACAGACACGCAGCTAAGGCGAGCCCTCCACCGGAGCAGCACGCAGGCTCAGACACGGGGGAGAGCTGCAGCCCCAAGTCGTCCTCCGGCCACAGCGAGGAGAGAGCGAGCAAAGGCGGCAGTGAGTATTTCTCTGCTCCACAGTGAAGCTGCTCTCTTGAAGACTTTTATATGCTGTTTTATATGCACACAGTCTTTATGGAGGCCCTGCAGATTTAGCCTGCAACAAAACTATCTTATAAACGACAAGATCACGTGCTTGGGATTGAAGTTGGCCGTGGAGACTTTGGAGTTTAGCTTGTTCTCCAACCTTTTAATCAACATTTCCAGTTTACTCCTTTGTGTCATGAAAAAGTTACGGCTTTCCCACACAAACTAGCAAAAATAACAACACAAACACCGCAGACCAAAGGGATCTCACATTTATGATTAGAATAAAATCCTGGATCACAATTGGGTTTATTGTTTTGTGGGGGCTTAAACGTGCTGAGGTGTTTTATGGCCCGGGATAAAGAGATTTACTATTACTCTAAAGTCCTTACAAATACATCCACATTTCTTTCACTTTATTTATTTTTATTTTTATTTTATTTTTGCAAAAGTTTCTCTTTAAAATATTCCCTTTGCGAAATTCGATAGAACAGCCTTTTTACGCAAAATGAAAACCAGGGTAAATACCAGGAACACATTGGACCATCAATCAGTAGTTGCCAGTTATTGTAATGTCTTTGGACCAAAATGAATTCCATACTTTGTTTGATCATGACAAAAATATTTGATATTTTACTGCAACAACCTCGTCTCTTTTGAACGAATCCACATGACTAAAAAAATATTTATCCTCCACAAACAAGATTAAATTACGTTTGATAACGTGTCTGTGTGTCTGACAAATAATGTAAAATTCACCTCCTCTGTGTTTTGTGTCAGTTTTTTGGATTTACTTTTCCAAAAACATTATTTCGACAAAGTCTAAACACGGGTCTGCGTAAAGTAAGTAGAAAATCCGGAATACGTTTTTTTTTTTAAACAAAATGTTTTCTTTCTTTATTTTTGACCAATCAATATAGATAGATCAAAAATACACAACTACAACCATATGAACACAAATTAGATTTTGTAAATATTTGTTAATACTTGCCCACAAATGCAGCACGTTGTGGTGTGGATTTGTGTCCTTTCGTTGTATTTGACCTGATTTACACTCGTCCTTGGTTTGTCTTAAACTCATTGCATCTTGATGGTTTAATTTAAAGGTTTCCACAGAGAAAAGTTTGCTTTTACAAAAGTCAGTTACAGCAGTCTTCCTAAAAAAGTACTTTTTTGAAGGACGTTTCGGTGTCAAACGCTCGTGAAATCCAGTGAATTTGTCAACATCTGACCGAGGATGAGCGTCAATCTGTCCAACTGTAACCTCAACATACAGTTATAAGTTATAAATTTATTCTAATCACATGTGAGACTCTTTGGTGGTTTGGATGGGAACTCCCCCACCCCCCCACTCCCCTACCCCAGAGATTATAGCTTCAAAGATTCTCACAACTGCATCCATCATGCTCCACCATCAAGTCCAGTCTTTGTTTACATGTCCAGAGTGGACGGAAATACTTGAACTCCACTCTTAATCTTTTGCATCGACACTCTCAGTAAAAAAACAACAAAAAAAACCACTTTTTTTCCCTTTATATTTTATACTCACGTGTTTCTGTTTTGTCGATGACGCCTGTTCTGACCCACTCTCTTTGTCCCAGGTGGACAGAGGACGCGCAAGAAGAGGTGTCCATACACCAAGTACCAGATCAGGGAACTGGAGAGGGAGTTCTTCTTCAGCGTTTACATCAACAAGGAGAAGCGTCTGCAGCTGTCACGGATGTTGAACCTGACAGACCGCCAGGTGAAGATCTGGTTCCAGAACAGGAGGATGAAGGAGAAGAAACTGAACAGAGACCGTTTACAGTACTACACCACAAACCCACTGCTATAAAACCTGGGCACAGACTGGTACTGCGTGGCCCCTGAACCATGTGAGCAGACCGGGGGTCCACAGACCACAAAAACCTGGACAGGAAGGCGATTTTCTTTTTGTTTAGCCTTCTATTGTGTCGCCAGATTTTTTAAAGAACTTTTACTATTTACACGCTACTTTGTCATTAAACAACATTGCATTTATTATTATTATTATTATTATTATTATTATTATTATTATAGGACAAAGAAATCTTTTGTAAAACTTAAAGTTACATTGTTGCGTCAAGTGACGTTTTTACGCGCGGGATTGATCCGTTACAGCCTATAATAGGCCTTTTCTATTGATTGCATTACGAAGTTGTGTGTGTTTTATTTTCTTTAAATCAAAATTAGTTCATTAAATGTACCCACACGTACTGTTTGGTATGAAGAAAAGCATTTTTTTCACAACTTTAGGCCACATTTTGTTAAATTCCCGTGCGTAAACGTGATTATTGTGTCCACGAACTATGACCTGATTAAATTGCTCTTTGTGTTTACCCCCGTTCTTTTCTCATTTCATAGTCACATGTCAGATAAATACAGAATGTTATATGTTGTATGGTTACATCGACGGTGACCAAACTGAAAAAAACCCCTCTCCTTACTCAGAGATTGAGTTATTCTATAATCCAACACCACTTCACGGATTTCATGCGTTTTAAACCTGATATTGAACATCTGCGCTGGTACATTTTACGACAAGCGCTTGGTTGAATTTCCTTGGCCGTGAAGTTATGGATCACAATCTCCAAGTTGATTCAAATGAAACCTAATTCCATATTTTGTTTCCTGTGTCAGCACGTGGAGCGTATCAGATGCAGGACCTGGAACTTGGATTTCGTTTATTCCCTGGTGACTGGGAATCAGATCCGCCGCCGTATTTAATCTGATATGATTACAAAGGCTCCATTCGTTTCAGAGGCCGATTTGGCGACTTACTGTGGCTGTAAGGAGAACTCCCAACAACAGATGTTTGTTTGTATTTATGTCCATGTGTGAAATGTACCTAATCCCGATGTTTCATTGTTGAATTTAAAATTTTAAGAACAATAATCAGACTCAAAGCGCTTCCTCATACTGTGCGTCCAACCTGACAGTGACGTTGGATACTCAAATAGATGACGACGTCACTATTACAGTCCTCACTTTATGATTTGGACCACTTTAATTCAAATGTACAACGTTGGGTGCCAAATAAAGAGACTTTGAATTTGGGTCACAGAGATACAGTACAAAGCAAAGGACAAATGACGCACGCATGCGTAAAGACATTGGCTGAAACTGGGGCTTGAGGTGGCTTTATGTCCACCACAAGGGCCCCTAAAAACAACCTAAATAGCCTGCCATAAGCTAATAAGGGCCCTGATGCCTTCCATATAGCGTGCATCCTGTGAGGCTCCCAGGAATTCCGCTTTGATTGCTGCACATCCTCCCAGTTGCTCCAGTAACTTGGCCATAAAACGCGGATTCGTCTGGAGCATTTGGAGTGTAGTGCAATAAAGCGTCTGAGACCAAGGTTATTAACTGTGACTAAGGGGCTGAAAACAGCGGCTGGGAGCATTGAAAGCCTGTGTTCACGGACCTTTCCGGCGTCATTTGTTTCTGCATCTTACCGCGGTAGGAATATTCTGCATTTGCGTTGCGTCTCCGTGTCTGGCTGTCTCAGGAACCAGGGCTGTCTGCGCCCACTGGGAGGCGCTCCTCAGATCAATGTCATTGCCGTGAATTAAGATATAGAAGAAGTTTGGCTCAGCTGTTTTAAAGCATGTCACCAAACGGCAGGAGCTGATTGTGAAGGTAGGCAGTGAAATGTATTTCCACTTTATGAGCCCGTGTACGCCGGGCTTTAATGCGATTTAAGGAGAGTGTGTGTCTATTTTTCTTCTTCGTCTCCATCTGGAAGTCAGTGGAGTGGAGCCTCTGTGTTTCATCTGAGCCACAGCTCTTATGATATAATGGCAGCGTCGCTGTCAGGCAAATTGCTGCGAGTAAATAGTGCAAGAAAATATGTTTGTTTCCATCAAACGTCTCGGTTTGCAGCTTTGCAGACGTGACTAAGGCGCACACAGACGTGGCCCACACTGGGCCACACTGCACACTGTGTGGCCCACTAACTTTTATCATGTCCCAGTCTTTATCATGTCAATTATACCTCACTTTACACAACACACAGTGACTTCATGTTCTGCTGGTGTAATGTTGTGGACACGGTGGTGAAGATAAGCTTTTCAAACTCTGGTTTGTGCCACAGGACCGATTCGACCACCATTGTTTACTTTGTGTGTGTGTGTTTCAGTGTGAGAGTGTGTGTCATTTTCTTGAACTCTGTTTGAAGTCAGAGCGAACACGTGAGTTGTACTTCAGTTTGGGTTTAGGCAATAGCTATTTATGCTAAAGCTAAAGGCTAAAAAAAACAACAACAACAACAAAAAAACCCGTAACCATATTTTACTTAACTCCTATTTTTCTATGGCAGTAAAGTAACGAGTGTATTCAGTATAACTGTGTTTTTTCTGTGTATATATATATATATATATATATATATATATATATATATATATACACATATACATATATATATGTACATGTGTGTGTGTGTGTGTGTGTGTGTACTCGTCATTGATAAATAATATTAAGACTAGTAATGCTGTTAGCTCGGATTAAAAAAACAGTAAACATGCTAAAGGCTAATAATGAACCATAATCCTCTTATGCTACTAAAATGACGGATGTTGTGAGTTAAATTGATGGATTGTGTGTGTGTTAGTGTGTTAGTGTGTTAGTGTGTTAGTGTGTGTGCGTATACTCATACGCACACACACGTATATGTATTTGGTACGTATATATGTGAGGACTAGAAATCCTAATAACTCGGATTAAAGTTTGGCTGGACATTTTGTATGACCTTAAGTTAAGGTGTTGCTAAAAACTTTTATTGCTAAAGGCAAGAAATTAACCTTACCTTTATTTAATTAACCTTACTAAATGTTCTGTAATATTGAGATGCATGTTGTGAGTGTTATTGTTGGATGGTGTATCCTACTGTTAGTATTAGTAGTACTGGTTACGCTGAATAAAGACAGGCTGAAGGTTAGCAAGTTTAGACAGTAGGTTTTTGTCCTTAAAGTTAACATTTAACCGTAACCGCATTTTTTTTATTAACCCTTGTTAATTTGTGGCAAGAAAGAGATGCATGTTATGACTTTCACTTCTGTTTGTGTGTGTGTGTGTGTCTAGTGACTAGTAATGCTGTTGACTTAAGGTTAGGTTGAACATGTCAGTTGAACTTACAGTAGTTAAAGATTTGGTCAATTTTTTTCATGTTAAATTCGACTGCAGTCATATTTTAATTTGCCATAATTGTTTTATTTGTTGAACTGCCCTGTGTTTATTTTTTATTTTCCTAATTATTAAAGTAATCTAGTAAAACTAGTAACCCCGTCATTAAACCAGTGCTTTTGTGAGCACTGATTAAAGTTAAGGTGAAGATGAGAGAGCACTAAGTTAAGAGGTGCTAATTGTTAATAAATGAACTGGAATTATGTTTAATTGAACGCTATTTCTCTTATGGCGGTAAAATGCTGCATGTTTCGGATTTAATTGTCTGGTTGTATGTGTGTGTGTGTGCGCGCGCACGTGTTCCACTTCCGGCATTGTTGTCCTGTTTTTATTGACCAGTGGTCCTGAAATCCTCTTCAGTCTGGATGATTTCGTCGCTGTCCAGCACATTTCCCCAAACCGTAGTGATTATAATGTTTCATTGATTAAAATTAAATGTACTGTTGTAATTACCTAACTATTTTATTTATTTAATTAGCAAAAAGCCTCCGTTTTATAACCTATTCTAATCGTCAGCATTTTTTAAAATTTTTTTTTACCAGTTCATTCTAATACGAAACAAGATTCGGCCTTTATGCGGGAAAACGTACTGGAAATTGGAATTAAGATTAAGGTTCAATGTACAATAGATAATTAAACATAATTAAACCGTAACTTTACCTCGATAATTATCATTTTCGAGACAGTAGTAGTGGCTGTTATTATGGGCGATATATATTTACTTTGAATTTATTTATTAATTCACTGTTTTTGAACAATGTCTGGCTCGTTTTTATCTTTTTGACCACCGGAAATTCACAGCTCGTTTTTATCTTTTTGACCACCGGATCTCCTGACGTGGGTCATTCCGCAGCACATAATGAATCTTAATAGTTTAATTAATTTCCACAGGTCACACTCACCTTTTGTATGTACTGTAAAGGTGGATGTACACCGTAGGATTACTGGGATTTTTACTGAATTTTGTAATGACATTAGTTCTAATGTGGATCAAATCCTGGTCCGACCGAAGCAGAACCTCGTTTTTCAAGGTCTGGGAAATAGTTAGAAGAAAGAAATGAATGATCTAATCTGGTAATCATTAACGTTAACTAATAATTCTGAATAATTCTTGTTTCCTAATTTTGTAATTATTAACGATTGTCGTGGGTTTAATCGTGTCGCCGCACACGTTAACGCTGATGTGAGTTTATCTCTGCGTTGTTTGTTTTTGCAAATCATCAGATCCGTTTAGAGGCTGAATATGGAAATGTTGGTCGGAATAAGATGAGGTCAAATTAAGGTTCGCTAATTCATAAAGTACTTCATTCGCCTGTACGTGTGTACTCGTTTTCATAGTACTAGCTTTTTACAGGGCTGTTGATCATAATGTGGGTCAAAACCTGGTCTCAGTGACGTATTACCTTATTAATTATCTAGGGTTTGTGGTTAAAACCAGGATGTAGACGTAAATTTTAATGAGGTTGGGTATTTACTGGTCACGTTTGGCTAAAATATAACATAATTAAGTTTTTAAATATTCACAACCCACAATAAATGTCGTTGAGATGTAAGGCGATGAAAGTTTGTGATTGGAATCGGAAACTGAATTGGGTGCCCTTTGTGTGTGTGTGTGTGTGTGTGTGTGTGTGCAGTCGCTGTCTTTAGAAAACACTTTGTATGAAGACAGGAACTGTAAAAAAAAAAAACAGCCATTGGATTTACACAATTATAGTGTGTTATTTAAACTATTTAAGGATGGAGAGTTAATTGTTGGTAAAGTTAGTTTGGGTCGTTGACTAGTTTAAAGATACGTTTATTATTTAGCTCACAGCTTAATTAATAATACAATTCTCACTGTGTCGTGATGATGAGATTCATGTTGCTGCTTTTTGTTACGAGCCATAGGTTGTAATTACGTGTGTGTGTGTAAGTGTGTGTGTGTTTACACAGGCAAAATGAGACGTGTCGACACAAGACAACGGTATTTTTTAAATTTTTTTTTTGATTAAAACTTATGACTTCATTCAAATATATTATTATTATTTTATAATAACAAAGCAGAAAAAGCTCTGTCTCTCTGTGCGCACTGAATCAGCCCAATGATAATCCGATGGGCCTAATGAATATTGTTATCCAGCGCAGCCAGACTGCTCCACATTAGACGCCATATTAAATGGCTGGACATAAAGTGTAGCTCTCACTTCTAGACTCATTGGCTCCAGACTTACAGGAAAATGGAGGCAGCAGTGAACCATCTTTGGTGACATAAAGGCTGACCTAAATGTGGAGGCCTGCAGGATCCTGACCACACTGCAGGAATGAGTCTCTCCGTCTGACTCATGTAGTTCACTTTAAATATTTAAAATAAAAAATGCTGTCCATTTGCATCACACAAATTGACAGTACACTCAAGTGAGGTGGCTTTTTAACTGTATGTGGATCATAGCACATTTGGATATAATGGACTCTTTTAAAAAGTCTCAGTAAGAGTGATTTGTTCTACATGTGATTGAACTAAGGACACTACATGTTAAGCTTATTTGTAAAAATTATATTTCTCTTCGTGATATTTGTGAGTGGTTGTACCCAGTTTTCGGTTATGTTGTTCAATAAAATTGAAGACAAAAAACAGTGGGACTTTTCCTGCTGTTTAATAAGTGCTAATGTGCAAATAAAAATGCACAATGAGCGTTTTATTCCCGCGTAAAATTGATCAAGGGAGAAGTGGATTTGCTATTGAATTTATTTAACAAGCACATGCATAAAGTCTGTGTGTGTGTATGTGTATGTCTGTGTGTCTGTGTGTGTGTGTATGTGAGAGAGAGAGAGAGAGAGCACATTTAAAATAAAAGGGTCAAACTTGATATTTTACAAACATACATTCGCTCCATTCTGTGAAATAATCTCGCGGTGTTTCAAAGTCATCTCTGTTGACTGCACAGCAGAGAGAACGCGGCTCCAGGTCATTGTTCATTGTTCATCTGTGTCTCCCATACTCCACTGTGTCTGTGTGTCACCTTTGTAAACGCTCAACACAGCCGTGCGTGCAGTAAAACGTGGAGGAGGTGACTGGATGCAGTCAAGGCATTTGCACCTACTGTCTTCACACTATAGCTGAGCTGGAGGGGGCTAAGAATGAGGTGACCTTGTCCCTGTGTGACCGGCAGTTTGGCACAAACTACACAGCAGCACTCCACACTAGGAATCTTTTTTTAAAAATAAAAATCTTAAAAAAAAATAATAATCATCAGCCAGTCCAGAAAGGCTGAGTGTCCTCGACCTTTTGGATGTCTGAGAGGCTCCACTAGAAACCTTCCCTCCTTTTACAGTGCTGTAAAAGTGGCCATAAAGCTCTGCATTGTACATAATAGTTAGGGACAGCTTTCAACAACCGACTTGTCGAGCAGGGGTTGGAGTTAAATTTAGATAAGCAGCTCCAGACTCCCACAGACACTCGCAGAGATATGGCTGATGATCGGGGGAGACTGTGATGCACCACTTTTCCCACCACACTTTCTCTTTAGTTGGACCAAAAGAAAATCTATGAGAGAGTAGAGCAGGCTGCTCGGACTGGGAGGAGTCTGAACTCGCCTGCTGTTTTAATTGGCTACAGGCTACAGTGTGAAGCGTGAGTATCAGTAATTATTCAGCAATGTTTTGCACAAGAAATGTCAGCCAGAAAGGGCTATCTTCATCCTCCGTCATATTATACCACAACGATGACATGCCCCAACAACCAGGCTGGAAATTCGTTTTTCGTGGACTCCTTGATCAACGTGAGAACCGACAGCGGTTCGTATTACCAGAGTAACGGCGTCTATCTGCCACCGGCGTCGGAATATTCCTATGGACTCTCGGGCGGCTCTTGTTTCCCAGGGCTCGGAAAGCGCAACGAGCCCAGCAGCCAAAGCGCCATCCCCGCGTCCGCTCCCTATGTCCAGGGAATGGAAACGTGGCTGGAGACGTCGAGGTCCTGCCGGGTGGACCAGCCCAGCGGCCAGCAGCACATGGCTCAGTGTTCCTTCTCCCCGACTATCAAGGAGGAGGGCGCATATTGTCTTTACGAGTCTGACAAATGTCCTAAAGGAGCGTCAGGAGAGGACATTTCCTACACCGCCGCGTCGTGCCCGGTGACGGGCAGCACGGTGCCAGTGCCCGGCTACTTCCGCCTGTCTCAGACGTACGCATCCTCCCGGCTTTACCCTGACGCGCAGCCAAACGCGAACCACTTTTCACTGCAAAGACCTGCGCGCTTGGACAGCCAGTCTTCCCAGACGCCGACTGCGTCTGCGGAGCCCGAGAATCGCAGGGAGAACCACGAGGAGGCGCCGCTCCATGCACCCTGCGCTCCGGCCGTGGAGGAGGACAGCCGCCTGTCCTCTGAAGGCTCATCCTCCCCGGAGCCCGCTGAGACCTGCGGTGCGGACTGTCCAGAAAAACCCAGCAAAGGTGAGAAGGCAACACACATTTACACAAACCGAAATAAATAAGTCGATAAAGAATGCGGACGTGTTTTTTACGTGTGGATTAAAAAAAAAAAAAACACACAAACTAACGCAAATATATTTTTCACGTGACACGATTCAACGATTATTATTTATCGCCAGTCATTCACCGGTGCGTAGTAATCGAGCTATTTACCAGTTTATCGGGTGTGAGGCGAATCTGAACTGGCAACTGAACCAATCAGAGCCGAGGATCAGAGCGATTGCTCTTTTTGAAGATCATTGGCTGCGGTGGCCGTGTTGTATCCGGTTGCAATGGAATTTATACGAGTCCTTAGTGATTTATTTCCAGCACGCCACAGTGTAAAGTTTTAATAACTGTAAATCACACCAATTATACTTGTGTTTCTAAATATTAAAGCCGTATTATTGCTCCAGTGCAATCTGCACTACAAGCCCGCGGTGTGTCTCATCCGAGACGGATCTTTGTCCCCTGAACGCCACGTCCAGGCCTGGCTGTATTTTCAGCAGAGGTAGCAGGCTATGTTTTATGTCTTAATGAAGATTCTGTTGGCTACAGGCTGCTGTGGTTCAGGCGGTTAAACGGCAGCAAATAGCAGAGACTAATAAAATGCAGAGTTGCATTTCTATGTGCAGCCACGCAGGTTTTCTGTCTGTGCGTAAAATCCCAGAATACAGTCGTAATGTAGCTACAAAAACCCACCATTGTTGTCAGGTGAATTATTCGGTTTTATCCAATTATTGTAACACACGGTTCTCGACATTGACTATCTGCAGTAGTCCGAGACAATTCTGTCCTCACGTCTTTTTAATTTTTAATAATTTTGAACGATCTGGATTTTATTGCTCCTTCATTGCTGTCATACACAGTCTCTTCAGGTATAATGGATTGTACACACCTGTTGCCGGAGCTCTGAGCTCACGTCTTAATGGCTCACTCTCGTTTGCAGGAGAAGGCAAAATGGAAAGTACTGCTAATTGGCTCACAGCAAAGAGTGGCCGAAAGAAGCGCTGCCCCTACACCAAGCATCAGACTCTGGAGCTGGAGAAGGAGTTTCTCTTCAACATGTACTTGACGAGAGAGCGGCGTCTGGAGATCAGACGCCACAGACAGGCAGGTCAAAATCTGGTTCCAGAACAGGCGGATGAAACTGAAAAAAATGAGCCGGGAGAACCGAATCCGGGAGCTTTCCAACAACTTCAGTTTCTCATGAGACTGAGTCTGTGTGTCTGTGTGTCTGTGGCGCCTCTCTCTGCCGGAGGTGCAGACTCCCTCCTCCACCAACTGTGAGAATGTCCATGGGAGACAGAACAGGACCTTAAATTAACTTATTATTAATTGTTGTTCTTTGGGGGGAAAAATGTTATTTTTATTTTTTAGTTTGTCGTGAGTATGTATTTATAAATGTCTACATTTGTAACGTTGATCCATTGTGTTGAAGGAAAGAAAACCGAGGAAAAACCATGTGCAGAATGTGACCACGTTGTTCCAGAGCTTCAGGCTTGTACATATTGTATATTCAGAAACCTGAGTGAATCGGTGGAATTTGCATGCTGGACTCTGTAGAATCCTGGGAGACTTGTCTTACTCTTTCCATGTAGGCCTTTGTGTGACATCTACACAACCCACCCAAGAGGTTTCCATGAATATTTGCACATTTTTGCTGGTCAAATTAATAAAAACCCATTCATGCAAGTGTAGACTTTTTGTTTTTTTAATCTCATTTAAAAATCAAGAAAAACCGAGCGCGCTGTTGGAAAGTTAAAAGAAAAACTACTGCGTGGCGCTGTGGCTTAAAGTCGATTTATTATCACTCAATATTTACATTAATTTGTATTTTGCAGTCAGGGCCTTTTGGAGAGATGTATTTTTTGTGTTTTGTGTCAGATTTATTTGACCACAGGATTAATGAAGCAGTGATTGTTTGCCATCGTTATTGTTATTTATAATAAAATATAAATGCAAAAAAAAAACCCAATCCATTTTAATATTATCTGTTCTTTTCGAAAATTGTGTTATAAAATGTTATGATTTTTTTTCTTTTTTTTTGCGCCTTTACTGGTTCGTAAAATGTTTCAGACATCATGTCCACATCTGGAAAACACAAAAAAGCTCCAGTAAAAAAGGTGGTAGTAGATTTCTGCAGCAGAGGAGAGCGGACTGTTGAGTGGTTTAGGTAGTCTCATGTTGTTGGGCTTTATTATTATTGCCCCCACAACACGAAACTGCCTTGATTACCTCAGTAAAACTCGTCGCATCACGAAAGAGAGAGAGAAAATAATATCAACATAGTTTTCTGCCTGCATTTGTTTGAAAATGATTTGGCCCAGTTTGAAGATTCCAAACTGTCTGTGCTCTGGGAATTGTGTATTTTGGAATAACCATATATTTAATGTCTGGTGTAGTTTGGATACTGCATCTGAACGGGGTAAGGTTTATATATATATATATATAAATATATTAAGGGATTTGAAGTTTCCACACCGTGGATTTAAAGCCTTAACTATAAAGAATCGGTATGAAAGAGAAATAAAAAAAATACAAAAAGGAAGATGAAGAGTTTAAGGCTGGTGTATGAGCTGCAGAGGAGGAAAAAGCACAGACAAGGCCTCGGTTATGACCACTGAAGTCCGCCAGTTGCCTCGCCGTAGGAAACGCCGGATGCGTCTTGTCTCGCCCAAAGAAAGGACACAAAGGCCCGGCTTTATTGGTGATATTTAGCTTAGACAGCCAGGTTGTAACCTGAAGAAAAACAACCCAATTGCCCGTGATAAAAAGACACTGTTATATGGCACCCAAATAACCTCACCCCACTTTCCGTTTTAGATTGCCTTCAAAGTGGAGCCACAAGCCCGCAGACGCAGCAGTGCGTCTTTGGAAACGGCCCCTAATGTGTTTAGATACTGTAAAAAGTAATGGCGCCTTAAACACGTCTTTGCCTCTTTTATCTTATTTAAAAACTCTGGCAAATGTTGCACATAACAGCCATTCGACTGTTCTTAAAGGGAGGCGGTTATAAAAGTTAAAAAATTATATTAATATGGACTGCTTTTTATTATTTAATATAATTTGGCCGAATAAAAAAAATCCGTTAGATTTTACAAACGCATATTTTTTAACAGCAAATTATTATTATTTTATTTTTCTGAGTATAAAGTTAAAAACGTTGCGCCTGTTCTACTTCACGACTGTATTGGATTACACTAACATGTAGAAATGTTAGGGTTTATTGCTTATAAAACGGAATATTTCCCAATAAAAGCGCGGGGATTTGCTATTAAAATCTGCTAGGGAAAATGGTGGCCATTTAGTTGAACAGCAGGCTGATTTATTATTTATTGTTCTGTCCCACGGTCACGTGTTTGGGGCGCCCTATCCAGTCTTGGGCAAGGTTCAACTTACTGGACGCATTGAGCTCCAAGCTGGCGCAGGAACACAGCGCGTGATATCATGCAATTTATCCCATTGATCTGAATTCTGCAGGATTGTAACGCGGTAGGATTTTTTTTTCCTTTGCAATGTCGACGTTGGGAACGAGTTACTATGTCGACTCGCGCATTCTTCCCGAGCAGGAAGATATGGCACCGAGGTTCTCATCAGCTGCAGGGGTGGAGCAGGCGGTGCTCGCCGAATATGGCGGACAGGAGTCTTGTCCTCTGCAGACGAAATCTTCTATTTTTGGCGGATCGTGGAGTCCCATCTCGACCCACCCTCCGAACACGGCACCTCCGACCTACATTCACCACCACTACACCAGCGGGGACAGCGATGGCGTGTTTACGCGCTCCTGGGCGATGGATCCGGTTTCTGCGTCCCTGTGTTTAACGGGATTACCGTCGGCAGCCATGCACTATGATATCAAGCCGGAGCCTCTGATTGGGAGCGTCGAGTGTACAACTTTGGAGGCGCACACACCTCTTTTGTCTGACATTGAAAACGGAGCGTCCCTGACGGAGCTTCCCTGCGAAAGCACGTCCGCGTCTAAAGGCGCCGAGGACAGCACGTCAGCGGAGGAGAAGAGGGAGATGGACGCAAGTAAGCACCGCAGTGATTCACTTTCACACAGTGGAGGGCACTGATTCACGTGAGATGCTTGCACGTCATTCGGCTTTGCTGTATAGTTGTCAAGGGTTTGGTCTGGGAAAAAAACGGTGCGTAAAGAGAGTTAAATGGCAGCAAGGCAGAACAGCGTGTCCGCGCACGCTCTTAAAGGTGCACGGATGAAAAATACACGCAGTAAATATTGGTGTGAATAGTCACCAGAGGATGTAGATTTAGAAAACACTCCAGTAGAACACGTATAGTCTTTTGTGCGTCTGTCTTCTGTGGCAGCAGCGAGGCCTAACTGTCTTCTCTCCTGGTTTCTTTTTTCTTTTTTTTCTTTTTTTCTTTTTTTTTTTTTGACCCCCTTGCAGGAAGATAACCCATCATCCAACTGGCTTCACGCAAAGCCCACGAGAAAAAAGCGCTGCCCCTATACAAAGCACCAAATCCTCGAACTGGAAAAGGAGTTTCTCTTTAACATGTACCTCCCGCGGGATCGGAGGTACGAGGTAGCCAGACTCCTGAATTTGACCGAGAGGCAGGTGAAAATCTGGTTTCAGAACCGCAGGATGAAGATGAAGAAAGAAAACAAAGACCGGCGAAGGGACAGTTAAAGTGTGTTCTGGACTGATGCTGGATTTCAGTGTCCAGGGGTGAGGGGTTTGGGGGAGAGAGAGAGACCAGGAGGAGGGGGAGGAGGAGGAGGAGGAGGAGGGCTGTGTGTTCTACAATATTCCTGAGCTGTCGTTAGACTCACTGTTGTAAAGTTCGTGTTGTTGAAAACGAGCTGGATGTTTCTGTTTACCCGGTGTTCCCTTGTTCGTGGGAGGACGCTGTGTCTCGTCAGAATGTAGATGTTTGTAGTTTTGACGCACACACACACACACACACACACACACACACACACACAGAGAGACACACAGACTAAGGCCTGGCTAAAACCACAGGCCTTTTTCTGACACTTGCATGACTTAAACTTTACCTGAATGTCTTTATTCTGCTACCTATTTGCGTTGTTTTAAGTTATTATTTTGCAACTTTAATGTTTTTAATCCATTTGTGAAGAAAAAGAAGAAGAAGAAAAAAACCAATATGTTCACATACTGAAAATACCTCGCCGTTGAGTTCATCCAGAAATAATAAAAACAAAATAGTTTGTATAGCAACTAAGAATATTACGATTGTTTTTCTTTAATTGCTCAAAACGTTTGATATATTTCCTCCATAAAATATATACGGTGTAAATATATTGGAAATTATTTCTGTAGAACTCTACATTACGATTCATTTATTGCCTTTTTTTCGTCCCAGTTCAACTGTCGTGAAAATGAGCTTTAAATGGTTTTTATTGCGCTTTTATTTTTATTGTACGTTTATAACGTACATTTGAGTCAACATTTATGGCACCAACAAACCAAAAGAAAAAAAAATCAATTCAGAGTGAAAATGTAAACAGGTCAACAAATGAATTGTACCGGATGTTACTGCTATAATTAGTGTTAGTAAATTATTACACTGTGGACAGAAGAGGCTACCTCCGTATTCTAGTATCACTGTGTATCACTGGTCAACAGGGTTCTAGGTTCCTGCAGTGTTACTGTTGGATACTGTAGTACTTGTTCCAGTACTGTCTGGGTCTGTGTATTTCTCTGCTGCTCTGAAGCTCAGTCGCAGCTTCAGCTGTTTATAAGGTGCGAAAGCAGCAAAGCATAGTGAGGCTTCACGACAGCAGTAAAGCTGCAGTTCAGCCAGGGCAAGGAGTCAAATATGTCTGAGGCCTCCACACACACTCACACACACACACACACTCACACACACACAGGCAGAGAGGACAGGATTGCAGATGGGGTTTGTCTGAAAACGTCTAATGACTTTACAACCGTCTACCAACAATTAGACTGTGTCTGTGCAGAGACATCCGTTTGTTGTTTCACAGCAGCAGAACAAGCACACACACACACACACACACACACACACACACACAGACACACACTCACACTCCCTCTCTCTTTCTCTTTCTCTCTCTCACGCACACATACACACTAATTTACACACACATATTAATTGACATTGTCAAACCTGATTTTTAGGTTTACCAGTCCCGTTTGTCTCGAATAGATAAATACAGTCTTTTAGATGAAGACACACACACACACACACAATTATATAAAGGCTAATACAGTTTCAACTCCTATTGTTCAATGGTAAAGACAGCACAAATTACCGTCCAAAAAAGGCCGAGTTTACCAATAACCTAAACCTAAACTACTAACCTAACCCAACAACTCTAACTAATCTAACTACATTTCTCTTCTTCGTCCTGACTTTTCAGTCATTCTGCCCAGCATCACAAATATGGGATTAAAAACCAGTAACAATAGCGGAATTTGTTCAATATTAAATAAGCAAAATAATAATAAAAACGGAACCGTAATAAAATTAATAAATACAGAATCATTTATTCCCTACTCTCTATATTATTTAATAAAACCGAGACAATTTATTGATAAACAAAATATAGTCAAAATGAGCAAAAAATGTAATAAATAAAACAAATACAATAATAATAATGATAAGGAAATAAATATGTAAATAACAAAGACAAATAATAAAGTCAAATTCCGTTATGCAAAAAATGGGAAAAAACGTAAAATGAATACAACTACTACCACGTTAGTACTACTACTACTACTACTACTACTACTACTTAATAATATTAACAATAATAATAATAATAATAATAATAATAACCAGCAGGACCTGTCACTAACCCAGACCCAAACATCACATTCCTACTGCTGACGTCGTCAGAGCTGCGATGCTGCTAAAGTCCACTTCCCCCAAATAGCCAGCAGGTGACGCCAGCGGCTCATTTGAGGAACCAATATTCAAACTGTAAAATCAACGCCTCCACTGCACTCAGACAAAGCCACTCCCCGTCTACTGTATGAGGGACCTGCGCCACTGATGTCGCCTCCATCACACAGCATCCAATCCTGCTAAGTGTTCCCTCACGTTTTATAGTCGTTTTATCATGGCATAAATTGCTATCTAAAGATCCGTATTTAATTAAAGTGGGGGCTCTGTCAGACGCGGAGCTTCCTTCCGTCACTTTTTAATGTCCTCTGTTACAAAAGCAGAGAAGAAGTTTATGAATTGGCTCCACTTTATCCTTCTGGAGAGTTAGGAGACACTTCTGCAGCTCTGCAGAACAACACGAGCTGCACGGTCGACTAGAACCAACGGAGGCAGTAAAATTAGCAGACTGAGTCAGTTAATGTGCAGCTATGGGGGTGTTAGATACCAATCCACCCCTCCCACCCCCAAAACCTTTCACTGACGCTTTTGTTTATGAACACATTGGCATCAACTGAACAAATGTGTTGTCACTGGTCAGAGATATTTCCATTCGACTTAGAATCAAGAACAACGTGGAATGTTTCAGTTCAACTCAGCACGGTGTGAACATTGAAATGCTAACTATTATATTCACCCTCGCCTTAATGTTGGGGAATGTTTCCCAATTTTTCTCAAAAGCGATTTCCGTCCCGACCTGCTCTCAGACCAAGTACTAAACAGATTTGATAATATTGAAGGAGGCCTCATGGCGTGATTGTGGAGACCAATCAAGCAATGACGCCCCCTTCCTGTTGGAATGTACTCTACTGTGGTATGGATCACTGAAGTGCTGAATGGTAAATCCACTCTTGGCAAGGAGTCTCCCAGTTGTCATAAAATCGATTACCTGCTGTCTTGGTTTTATCAGTTCTGACTGGATCTCCATCAGGACTTGCTGGAATTCAGCCCTAATCCATTACAGAGCCGGTCTTATGCACTACTGAAGGATCCAAATGCTCAATTTTCTTTTGCATTTTTGGGCATGTTGTCTGCTTGACTGACACTTGAAACCATTTCCCAGTGATCCACAGTCCAGTCTGTGTATAGTTTGAACATTTCCACAGTCCAGTCTGTGTATAGTTTGACATAGTTATACACATTTTTGTTGATGTTTATTCAATACCGTAAGGGTCAGAACAACCCCCTGAAACTTTTCTGACATTTTTTTGGGTGAAATATTTGGAGTTTTAAAACCACGAGATACTATAACTATCCAGTATTATTACTGCGTAGTATTAGAATATTAGGTACAATGGTCAGAAGTGATAGGTAAATAAAGAAATAATAAGAATTGTGTTGAACAAACATCGACTTCCATATAAAACTGTAAAGTACACAGAGCTAATACCTCTGATGTTTTCACTTCAGCTCCAGATTCAGGTCAACGACTCATTTTTATGAGATTGGACTTCACTCTATAACTGAGACGAGTTCCTAAAGAGTAAAGGATACATTAAAGATTCTCCTCCCTCCCTTCCCCTTCCTCCGCAGCTAATCTTCTCACCTCACCCATTCTGCCTCCCACCCTTTCCAAAGGTCACCCACATGCAGCTCATTAACTCCCTTATTCTTCCAGGGGCCTGTGAGGAAATTAGGGATTTTTATGGATATTCAAATATTTCCAAAAAGGCCTTAAACGTGTCACATTTTTTGCAAAACTTTGCAAAAACTTGCAGACTAGACTGGAGAAATCATTGTTCGTAGTATGTGTGTGTACATGCGTGTGCATGTGTGTGTGTGCGTGTGAATGGCATTCCCCGCGCGTGTGCATGTGTGTGCATGTGTGTGTGCGTGTGAATGGCATTCCCGTTTGACTCCTGTGAATGTGTGGATGGATATATATCCTGCACACAGCCATGTGAAGAGCCCGGCTGAAGAAAAACAGAAAGTCGCTCGGATGTTGCTTGCGTTGACCTTTTCTGACCCCTATACATCAAAGCCCGTGACATGCCTGGTGACAGAAGAGGCCACTGTTGAACTGTGGAGGAACAGTCAGGGGGAGGAAAGCTGGAGCATCTGCTCCGGCTGCTTTTCCTGAACTGCCCAGCGGCCAGCAGACTGTAGATCTGGATGAAGGTCAACGTTATCTCTGCCCAGTCAATAGGTCCATGTGGAACCTACATATGGTCCATGCCCACACGTCAGGTATGGGTCATGACACGTGTGAATAATTCATTGTTGACCTACTTTTTAGTCACTTTTGCAGCAGATTAGCACAAATTCGCCAATGACTGCAAAGACTCAACCATCTCGTCACTAAGGGTCGACTCGTCTAATGACGACATTAATTAACACCCAGCCAGGTTTCTTTTTTGTTCGATATATTTCAAAGCAATTTATGACCTTTTATTTGCAGAGCAGTGGGGAAAACTAGCAAGACAGTAAATTGACACGTGCCGACAGGAGTTTTATGGGCAGGAGATGTAGGTGTTATGGGGAGAGTGGTGATTCCCAAATGATGGGTTGTGACCCAAAAGTGGGTCAGGATAATAAATTTGGTAGGAGTATAACCCCAGTGGTGTCCAATGCTGCAGGGGCAATTTCTGCTCACCTAGTGTCATTAAAGCTAATGCTAAAGCTAACGCTGCAGTAGTTCAGGAGGTTTAACTCTACCTCCACCCGGGGTCATGTTGTCACCTAGTACACACTCGGGTCACTGCGGTGATAACGTTTGATTCCGTCTTCTTTGTTTGCCTCCTAACATGCTCAACATATCACTTCAAGTGCCGTGCAACATCAAGTACTTTCTTACCAGACACAGTTGTGTGTGTTTATGCAGTATAAGTCATTGTTAAAGAACAGTGTTCCAGGTCATGCCGGTTGCATTGCACTTGTAACACTGTTTTGGGCTTGTTCACAGGCAGAACAGTAGTTTGTTTCCTTTCTGGAATCTTGAGTTTGTATAAGATATAAGTTTTTTGGACACTTTTGCAGTTTGAACTAAGTGTATTTTTTCCAGCGTAAAACAATGTGAATATATATATTTGAAATATATGTAAGGGGATATATCCCAGCTCCAGTTTGACAGTGAGGCAGGTCAGGGGCCTCGGTCATTAGGCATCAGTTAAAACTGGGTCACGACCAAAAGACTGACGTAAAGTGTGTGTCCCAGGGCCGGGTCATATCAGAGACAGTGAGGTAGAGCAGATGTACGTCAGACATTGACAATACATAAAAATATAATTCAATATACGAACAAACCGTATTACAGTGCTGTCTCCCACAACAACTCCATCTTCGGTTTCTTTTTCGAGATGCAAAACAAAAACAAACCAAACAAAAACTATACATTTATATACTGTATAATAATACACGATCGTATGAAGTATTCGAGTATTTTCCCTTTATTCGACATTTCCAGAGCCGGGTGTCAGAGTACAAAGCAGTTTGATTTGTGAGGCTATAACGCGACTGAAGTATCTGTCAAATCTGCCCATGAATCCTGGAGGCTCAATAAATAATGCTGTAATATAAAAAAAAACACACACACACACATCTCTGCTTTGTTTTCAGGAAAAACACACACACAGAGACACACACACACAGACAAAGACAGACACGCGTTTTTGTTTATTTGTTTTTATTTCCCTCCTACACATGATGTGATCTATGATATAACGCAGCCGTAATGACGGAGGCAACATGCCATAAACACTCAATCATTCCACAGAACAATATCAAACACACACACACACCCACACACACACCAGCCTCCGATCTGAATATATTCGAATGCACGTGTCATTAAAAAAAGAAGGAAAAGCCTCATTAAATTAACCACCTTTTAAAGCACAGGAAAACAAAAACAGATGCAGATTTGAAAGTTAATATTCGCTCTTTTATTTATCCAGTCCGCCTCGGTGTTCGCCTGCCGTTTAGCGCTGCGTCGTTCGAGTAATAATTCAGCATTATTGTCAGTATTTTCCGTCAGTGGTGTCAGGTTTGGCCTGCTTGCCTCCCAGATGTCTTCTGTTGTTTCAGAACAGACGGGAAACGTGTCTCAAGCACACACACACTTACACACACTCACCCTTACACACACACACACACACACCTCCGTAAAAAATTCGTTTACAAACGTCACAGAAAGGGTTTAAATGGATAAAATATATAAAAAAAGAAGCACGATGTAAATAAAATATTTAAAGGCATAATTGTTTGAAAAACAGATTTAAAACATCAAAACGTCAAATCCACGAATGGGTTTAATTCCCACAAATCTCTTTGTCTCCTTTATCTTTCTACATAAGGCTATAAAAGTTTAAATCAGACGTGATGTTTTTATAAATCATTTTTATTCATCTGCCATTTAAAAAAAAATACAATTTACAACACAACTCACTGCAGTAATGTTGTATGACGTCACGTCTAAATGTTGGCCCAATTTAGATTGACTGTTATTGAGAGAAAATTATATCGATGTTTATAGTTGAAGACTATGAATCATTTTAGTATTTTTTTATAGAACTTCCTTACAGATGTTTTTTTATATATCGACATATGTTCATGAGTTATTTGTGTCAGGAACCAAGAACATATTTGAAAGCAGGAATTCTACCGAAAAGAAAAGAAGACTTGAGAGAAAGCCTCCATCCATGGCTGCATCTGCCGCAGAGAAAGGTATGAGGCTGAATGGGATTCGAGCTGAATGCCAACACCCACTCACCTCAGCGGACAATTGATCGTATGTAAAAAAGCCGCTCCGTTTCCTTTACCACTAACCAAGTCAGCTCCTCAGAATAGTCCTTTTCTGCAAACGAAAAAAAAAAAACCCAGCCGAGATGGATCTTTGATTTATGACTGAGCAGTGCGCAAAAACCTCGGTGCGTAATGGCCGTGCCTCCCGTCTGTGTTTCCATGGAAGAAAATAAAAACCTTCCATATTTGTATACAGAATATTCTCCTATACCTCCTCGGCCTGCAGAGTGGCAGTGCTCTTCCTGACCATATATGATCTAAAGCAGTGTTAGGTGGGTTGAATGTGTTCTTAGGGCAGGGAGCTGTCAGACCTTTTGGCGAGAAAGATTGATCACGCGCCGGGGCTAGCAGGGCTCTTTGTTTAGAGCCTGGGCAATAAACAGCATTTCCTCTGCTCCAAACTACAGTGGCAAATCATGTCTGCTCTCCTCTGCCGTGCAACCAATAATGCCGAGGGATGTGGAGGAGGGCTTAGATCAATATGATCCCTATAGGCCGAATAAAAGAAATGAAACGGCCATGTGGAGCCGGGACCCAGACAGTGTCAGATATGACAAACGCCTGTTAAGGAATCCCACATGTTTTCTTAGACTTGTTCTCATGTACACCAAACATTAGGCTTTGACTATGGGCTACTGTTGGGGGGAGGAGGTGAGCAGGAGAAGGGGCCGATGAGCGGCATTTTACGCGGCAGGAGAAGGGGCCGATGAGCGGCCCTACGCACAGAAACAAAAAAAGAATTATTATCAATCAACCAAAATATGATGAATGTGAGCAAGGTAAAAGCTGTCTGTGTCTGTGTCTGTGTCTGTGTGTCTGTCTCCTGTGTTGGGGGAAGGGTCTGCAGACATGGTGTTGTTGCAGCTTTTTCTCTCTCCAGGCAAAACCAATTCACCAAAGTCTGAAGATTAACGCCTTGGCACTGACAAAGACTGCGGGCGTCGCGGCTTTATGGGACACAAATGTGACTGCCGCAGTGATTTGTGGAGTGCCATGTTGGAAAAAAGACAGACAGAGAGAGAGAGAGCGCACACAAACACACACTTGTAGGCGCGTCCCCGTGCATGCGCGCTCCGGCCATCGCCACGTCCAGCGTGAGCGCGCAGAGGAACTGGCTCCATGAGTGAGATTTCTCAAGCTGACCATGTGTAAATAAAGCAGCACTGCCCCCGGAACGAGGCGTTACCCCTGCGAGTTTTTCGATCAATCACAGGGGACAGTGGCTTCTTTTGATAAAAAAACCCCAAATTGTCATTGGGCAGATGCAATCATGTGACGTGCTGCACGGTCTGATTCCAACCATGTCCCCGTGAAGGCGATAGTTTATGGCGCACAGGTCTCCACATACGACTATAAGCACGTTAGCAGTTTATGACGAATAAAACAGCTTCTTATTTGTTTATATATTTTTTATTTCTTTTATGGTTATTGCTGTTATCATCTCTGCCCCCCCTCTGACATCAGCGGGACCAGGAGACGCAGGAGGAGGAGGATGAATTACGAATTTGGGCGAGAGAGCGGTTTCATCAACAGCCAGCCGTCGCTCGCTGAGTGCCTGACATCTCTCACTAACCCTGTCGGTGATGCATTTCAGAGTTCATCAATCAAGAGCTCGACGCTTCCACGGTCCACGCCGATTCCTCCTCCTCCTCCTCCTCTTCCTCCTCCTCTCCCTGGCTTTGAGCACACCATCCCCGGCCTGAGCCCGGGCGTCCACCCGCGGCACAGCCGCTCCAGGCTGCAGGCTCTGAGGGGCTGCAGCCCGCTGCGCACCGCGTCCCTGCCGCCGGAGTACCCGTGGATGAAGGAGAAGAAGAGCATCAAGAGAAGCCCGGCTGCTCCTGGGTCTCCTACTGCTGCCACCTCCTCCTCCTCCTCTTCAACTCCTACTTCTACCTCTACGGCGGCTGCTGGTGCTGCTGACTCCTCTCCAGTCTACTTCTCACCCCAAGGCAAGACATAATGATTAATAACCTCCATGTAGTAAAAAAAAAAAAAAAAGGCTTCTCCTTGTTTCCAGATTCCCTCTCATCCCGCGGGCCTTGCGCGCCGTGTGCGTCCCTCCGAGGCAGCGTGGGCTTTTGATTTAAGCATGCTTAATCTCATCAAGTAACGCACTGGCTTGTGATGCAATGTAAGAGTGCTAATGCCTGACAGTAATGGAGAGTGATAGATTATTCTTACACGGGCCAGCAGCTGGCACCTTCATTAATCTTCACCCTGCGTCCTGTCCTGTCCACGCACCGCCATCATATTCTGCCCGCGGCCCATAAATCTGCCCCAGTGCCGGGGGCTGCCTGCTCGCTACAAGGTTCAGCCCGGTGCGGTGTGTTTCCCCTGCTGTGTAACATGTTTTATTTGGGTTTATTTATTAATTTTTCAGGTTCCCCAGAGACGGCCGAGGGAGCATCCCGGAGGCTGAGGACTGCCTACACCAACACGCAGCTCCTGGAGCTGGAGAAGGAGTTTCACTTCAACAAATACCTGTGCAGACCCAGGCGGGTGGAGATAGCGGCGTTGCTGGATTTAACGGAGAAGCAGGTGAAAGTGTGGTTTCAGAACAGGAGGATGAAGCACAAGAGGCAGACCCACTGCAAGGAGAACCGGGACAGCGAGGGCAAGTACGCCTGCGTGGTGGACGAGGCGGCGGAGGACGAGTGTGGGCAGACGGAGGACGGCGGCGCGGGAGGGAGGCTCCCGGAGAGCCAGAGGTATTTCCAGCAGTGTCAGAACGGAGACAATGCCGAGGAGCACAGGCCCCTGAACAGCAATGAGAAAAATCTGAAACATTTTCCGAACGCGGCTCCTACTGTTCCAATCTGCGCCCCAACAATGGGCCCGGACAATGAGGACGGGTCCGCGGGCCTCCACTGTGTCTGTGAGCAGGAGTTCCACGTTTTTTCCTCCTCCTCCTCCTCCTCTCCTTCTTTCTCACCGACTTTTTCAGATTCCACACAAAGTCCTCTGTCTTTACCGTCCGAGACTTTTGACCTCTTCTCTGAAACCCTCACCACCATCGACTTCCAGAACCTCACCTACTGACAAACACTTTTGTTTTTCTTTTTCTTTTCTTTTTTTTTTTAAAGTTCGGAGCCTCGTCCTCCACCAGTGTAGTCTCTCTTAGCATCGGGTGGATTTGATTTTTTAATACATCTACAACAAGGAGGTAAGTTAAAGCAGAGAAAAGGACGACATTTTCCAGAGGACATTTTGACGTTTATTTTTATATGGAGCTGAGCAGAGTATATTTCTGTAAATAAAAGTTCATACTGAGTGGAATCAGAGTCTTGTTTCACAAGTGTGGAGATGTTTTTGAAAAAAAAAAAAACTTGAGCAATAACATTTAAAAAAGAAAATCCAAATATATTATTTTCAAAATAAAATAACCTCAGAGCTATAATTCTAATAACTATATTTTATGTTCCGTTGAGAGCTTCTTTTTTTTAAATTTTTTTATTTATGTTGATTTTTTGCTCCTTCGACTAAAACTCGACGAGACTGAAACCCAACAGCAGAGCATTTATCATGTCCTTCCAGTTAAATCTTGGTAAACTCCTCGGTGAGAATCGACTGCTGAGCTGCAGGCCAGGAGCTGTGACTTTTCCTGGCTCTCAAATTAAATTTTATTGCCTATAAAACTCACAGCAGTGAAGCTGCTTGTTTATAGCCTGATGCACGTTGTTACACAAACCCTGTGGATTAAGAATCGCTCCTCCGCCAACCTAATCTTCAGTCATTTTTAATTTTAGACCTGTAATCCCGAAATGAGCCGGCCATGAATTTATTTCACCAGCTGAGAATATTTATTTAATTTAGTTTGATGGGGGAAGAAAACCCCGTAGTACTAAATAAATATCAACAAAAATACAATCACAAATCAGGTTAAGAACGAACGCATTTTGTCGCACTTTAAAAAGTGAAAATAAAATACAATGAAATGTCATTTCACCCAAAAAAAAAAAACTTGAAAATGAGAAACATACACACATTAAATATTATATCTAAATTTTATTTACGTGACAAAGTTGAACATGCTGCGTATTTTATTATGAAATACAAAAAATAAATAAATACATTAATACGTATGTTAAAATAACTTCCTTAGTTTGTCTTAATAATTATAATAATCTGTTACAGCCCCACTATCTCACATTATTGCAGTGTTGTTATTATACACCAGACATGTGTGTTGTCATAATAACAACTGATAAAAAGCCAGAGTCATAAATAATCCGACTGATGTTGGACTCTTCCTGCAGACTGTGTGATGCATCTATTTATTTATAGGCCGTGTGTGTGTGTGTGTGTGCTGTGGCTGGACTCACAGCCTCACAGTGATAATTAAAAAGTGATGGAGTGCCCTGCCTACAGAGATGTGGTCTTAAGTGATGTCTAATTGTGCACTGGTTGAAAAGCTGGGCTGGAGCAGGAAAGCCACGGCCGACAGAGCTGCTCTGCTGCTGCAGCCCAGCTGCTGTATTTATACACACGTTTGAACCACCAGGGTAAATTATTATCTCCTCTCACAGCAGCTGAGAGGTAGCTTCAAGTAAAACACGTGCTGGTGCACAGTGAGACAATGGCAGAAACATATTTTTAACATTCTCCTTTTAAACGACACTGAGTTATTTTCAGTAACAAACAGCACAGAGGGAGAGAGAGGGGAGAGAGAGGGGGAGAGAGGGGGAGAGAGAGGGGAGAACTGGACAGAACTATTTACAAGGAGGCTTTCAGAGGAACTAGTTTTCAGGGAAACAGATACAAGACTACTTGGGTTGAAACCGTCCCTCTGCACACACACCAACACACACCAACACACACGGGTCAAAGGGAAAGGTCGCGCGGCCTCTCCTCTCCTCTCCAGAGCTGGGAGGAACTACTGCCAGGTCAGGAGGGGGTCAGGGTTTGAATGACCACAGAGGCTTTGAGAGTTTTACTTTCCTGCCTGCCATTATTCCAACAGGAAGTGATGTAATCGCATGTCACAAATGTCCATGGACAGATCAGTGACGGTCCACGCATATTTTCCCAGGGATATCGTAAACAAAAGCAGATTTACGACTGTGGCAATTTGTCTTTGTCCTACTGCAAATCTACTAGAACACAAGCAAAATAGAATATATATATATGTATGTATGTATATATATATATATATATACAGTATATATATATTTGATGTTTGATGTTAGGACTGTTTACCGGTATATAAAGACCAAGGAAAAAGTTAATACAACTCAAAAGAAAGAAGAAGAAGAAGAAGAAGAAGAAGAAGGTTTGAGGGGAGGGTCAAGAAACAGACTAAATGTTGAGAGGTGTAACTGTCTACATTAAAATACTTTCATCTGTTCAGAGTATTATTTTACGATCAACAAAAGCAAGAACAGTTCTCCAATTTGGGATTTTTAATCTGTTAGATTTGCCACTGGCTTCATTACTGTGAGGTGAACTCATCTCCCAAGGACGGCCTTTAAACCTAAACCTTGGTTATAACAACTCTTATAAACTTGGAGATATAAGATATAAGCCTTGAGTTTATGCATGTTTTACCTTTAATCTACTGTAATTCATTATTTTCAACTCTTGTAACTGGGATCATTCCAGAAGCAGGAATTCAGTCTTGAAGTCTGAAGTCTTGAAGTCTTGAAGTGTGGGCTGAGGGACCAGTGGCTCTTAGACCAGTTTTATGAGACCTCGGTTTAAACTTCTCTCCCAAAATGATTTTTTTATGGCCTGCAAACAGAGTAGGATTGTAAACGTTTTTTTTTAATAACTACTTTGTTGTTTTGCCATGGTGAAACTGTTTGGATGGTGTTTTCCATCTATCGAAAAGTATTAGTTTTAATTTTCTTCATATTTTGGCTGATCGTGTTGTTTTATTTCACACTTTATGTTGTTGTTTTTTTAAATAAACCTACCATGTTAGTTTTGCATGTAATACAAGGAAAGTCAAATATATTCACATTCTTTTGAAAATGACCGAAAGGGAAAAAAAACAACAACTCACAGCTGTTGTATCTCCAGAGTTGCCCTAGGGGCTGCAGAAAAACCCTGTCGTAGAAAGAACAAAGTACAGTGTGGGATTTATGTCAGTGATTAATTCTGACCATGACGTGGAAATAGTTTGAGTTGGGATGAATATGTATATATTTTCAGTAAGAATAAAAGAGTAGTTTGATTTTAGAGAATATATATCTAAATATATCTATCAATATATATGTAAACATATATTTCAATGTAAATATATATGAATATATTGGTATATATTCATACATAGAAGAATAATGTTTGACTTGAATGTGTGTGTGTGTGTGTGTGTGTGTGCGTCCACCACCCGCAGCTAAATGCTGAAGCCCCTCACACTGCCCTCCAGAGCTGCTCTGACACTTCTTGTCTCATTTCTCCACAACAACAGTTCTTCAGTTCAAAGGCTGAGTCTCTTCCTCCAGGACTGGATGATACTGCCTGTCACTGGATGACTAATGAAGCGCTGACACCTTTCATAAACAATATGACAACAGGTGGTTTTCTCTGGATTCAACAGGAGCCTCAGAGGGTTTAAAAAAAAAAAAAAAAACTTTCTCAGCTGCGGTTGCCTAGGATTAGATAACTATCTCCGTGACACCAACAATATCACTGCAATCGTTGAGAAAAAATATTGAGCAAAAGCTACAAAACAATAACTTCTATTTTATTTTAAACGTGTCTGCGTACAGTCTCTGGAACACGGCCTGCCTCGTCGGAGAGAACCTCCAGAGCAGATTTATATAATTGGCTTTTCATCTATTAATAATCCCTGTTCAGATTTACAGTGTTGACATATTCATAAACTCCCACTGCCTACATCAGTGCGGAAAATAAATAAATAAATAAGACGTGCACTCACTCAAAATGTGTCCAGTGAGTCAGTCAAGGAGAGCAGGACCTGCCAGAGGAACATTATGATCTGGAATCAATCACAACGATGTGATCATCACATTATCCTCCGACTTTATGAGTCTGTAAAGACCTGCGGCTCCATTAAAGCATCAGAGGCCTGTCACCACACACACACACACACACACACACACACACACTGAGGTAATACAGTTGTTCTCCGACCCCTTGGTACATGCTGTTTAATCTTCTCGTATATTTGGAAGCAGTAAATCCGTTCCTCCTAATAGTCACACCCACCAGCAGTACCACATGGAGTATTTGGTTCAAAGTATACATTTTCACAGGTTAGAAGACCTTTGGACAGACGACTTTGGATGTGGTTTTGTGGTCTGAGACCAATCTACCATTCACACCCACATTCACACCTCTAGAATAGTCGATTAACGTCACACACACGGGCAGAACATCAGCTTTACCACTGGTGGTTCCACAGTGTAGCGGTTAGCCTAGCTGCCCTGCAGAGAGTCCTGGGTTTGACTGACGATAGAGAACCACATATACCTAGTGGCGCCTCCTGTCTGGCAGCCTGTGAGTTGCAGTCATTTACCTAATGCCTCTTGAGTTGTGGGATGAATGACGGACTCCATTATTAATTATAATTATTGTCAGTGTTAAACAGTGTACCACTAAAGGCCACTTCATTATGTCTGGGTTCACTTTTTATTCTTGCTGAAAATCTTGTCAAAAGTCCCAAATAAACACAGCACGATAAATGATATGAGATTCTGAATATTTTTATATTAAGTAGTTTTGTTTCACTTAACTTTTTTCTATTTTTGCTTTGCTGCAGTCTTCTGCACCAGCTGCGGGGCTCGCCCCTCCACTTTGGCAACCTCTGGTGTAAATGATGTGAGATGAGGATTAAACTTTAGCTTCAGAGGAGCCTGTTATACAGAGCAGGGGGGGCGGGGGGGGGGGGGTGGGCTGTGGTCACTGATAAAAAATAAAGCTATACTTCCTTGTGCGTGTGCGTGAATGCGTGCGTGTGTGTGTCCGTGTGTGTGTGTGTGGCCACTCAGTGTCACTTCCGTGTCATGTGAAGATTGTCCTGCGTCCACCGCTGCCTGTAACGATTTGACTACGATGCGATCTGTTCCAGAGGAGGTGACCACGCTGATCTCAGGTACAGACCGAGCACACACCGCGTTTGGTTGTTTACTTCTTTATTTTTGGAGCCTCGAATTTGAATGACGTCCATGTTTAATCTTTTAATGTTCAACTAAATTCTACCGTGACGAGACCGTTGTGTTCAAAGAGGAAGCTCTGACTTGATGCCTGGTTGTCACAGTGTGTTATAAATAACAGCCACAACTGCGTGCGGCGTCGTATGTTGAGCTAAAGCTACAAACTGTTGAGAGAAGACGGTATCAGTTCAGACTGACGATGATCAGCGATTAAAAAAACCCCAGAATAATGACTGTATTTTTAAGTTGTCATCATTATCCTATGTCAAAATTCTGGTTCGGGGGCCAGTTGTATCACAGGAATGAACAGGTGTCATTTGGATCAATACTCTTTTTTTCTTTTTTTTCTTTCTGCCATAAATGCTGGAAGTTACCTTTTAAATAACATCTATATAATTTAACCAGCTTCATGTATTTGTTTTATTACGTTTTTTATCATGCTTCAGTTTTATATTTTAGGAATTATCTTTGGAAAAGTTTTATATTTTTGTAGATATTTTGTACAGTTGTTTCTATACTTTTGATTCAGGTATATAACATTTGATATGTAGCTATAGCTAACGTTTAGCTCTCTCTTTTTGTCAACTGTGTTTTCTGCTTTTAACGCTAACATGGGTTAATCTTTAGATACCTCTTTAGCTAACTTTGAGATTTCTTTTGTAATATTTGTTTTAATTTGTTTGGTTAGTTACTTGGTCAACCTGTAGCTATATTTTCGCTAACTTTTAGATATATCTTTGCTAAACTATAGCTACATTACGTTTTTAAAGTTACTTTTGGACAAATATATTCTTTTTCTGGGCTAACCTTTTGGATGTGGTCAGTGTAACATTTGTTTGATTTGAGCAACATTTTAAGCTGCTGATGATGGTGATGATTCCAATGTTTGTTTTGTTTTAATAATGTGAACCTGGTGCAGAATATAAAACAACTGGATAATCACGGGGAAATTAGAATAACTTACAACTTTCTCCTGACTGTGTGCAGATCTAGAGCATTTCCTCAACGATGGGTTAAAAGCGGAAAATTTAAGTAAAAAGGCAAAGGAGAAAAGGGAAGCCTTAGCCAAAAGGATTCGCGACGTCAGACTGAGGTACGTTGGTTTAGTAACTGTTAAATATAAACATGACTTAGGACTGACGTCTTGGTGGTAATGTTGTTGTGTTTTTTTTTACTTCTATTTCTTCATCAGTTTTCCACATGAGTTCAAGGACAAATGTGAGTCTGTTTTTATTCTTTGTTGTTTTAATATTGGACAATGCATTGTTGCAGATTGACATGCTGATAAATCAGCTTTAAATTAAGCTCTAAGAAAATGTACTGGATATAAAGTTGGATATAAAAAGGATTAAACATGATGAGGAAACATTTAAAAGAACATGGCTTGCTAACTGCTAACTGCTAACATGTTTACTTTTGCAGTATAGCAGCCAAAAACATTCACAATCTGCCAGTACAGGTAAAAGAAGTGACTCGGAGGTTGTTAGCAGGGTTAGCTTGGCCTAGCTTCCGTTAAAACAGCACTTGTACACAATTACAAATTTAAACACTAAATACTAGCACGCTGCTTCCACTGTGCTTACTAGCGCGTGGCTAAAACATTACATGCTAGTGGGCCAATAACAGACTTTCTACTACCTTACAGTGTCCAGTAGTCAGTCAGAAGTCAAACTAGATGTTATTTTGGTTTGTTGTCATATCTGTTCCCCACATTCTCAGCAGCTCGTTATTAAGTTGTACTTCCTGTGTGTGTTAATCAGAAAAAGTGTGTTTTGATTATATCTAAATTGACCTTTGTGTTGAATTGTTGTTATTTACTTGGTATATTTTAATATTTGATGACTAGTGTGCCATATTTGTTACATTAATTAAATACAAACCAAATACAGAGACATTTGTCGATATATGTTATGGATTAATAACATTTATACAGTTTGACATTTAAAACCAGGCCTACATGATGCTGGTGTGGAAATTAGTAAAAAAACAACAACTGTGAAACAAACTTTAAATGGTTTATGTTCAACTGGCAGGTTTTATGAAGTGGTTTCCGTCTTCTCAGGCTCTTACTTTCACAGTTAGTACCAGAGTGGGATTCACATCATTTAAAGTGTTGTGGGAACCACAGCTTTGCATCATAACGTGTGTGATCACCATATATCTCCCTGTGTTGACATCAGTAGGTGGAGATGACTCCGAGAAGGAGGAGGAAGCTGATAGCAACAACGACAGAGAGTCCCTGCAGTCGGAGCGCACGGACAAAGATGACGACACGTATGAAGGTATTAGCCACAGGGCACTTAGCGCACGTCCCGGGTTGACACGTTAAACGCTAACAAGCCCAGGATTAAAGTATTGGAAATCTCATCTTGGCATGAAAACACACAAATCACGGCGTCCACGCCTCGGAGAAAGTGACTTTGAGTGGCACAATGAAGGAGACATTCCAAGTGTAACTTGGCAACATACTTGAGGAGCAATTTGGAGGCACTGCTGGTGCTCCCTCCACCCTCCCTGCTCCCACCCCCACACCGTTTGACAGCCAGAGCATGCTTTATGGCTCTGAGCCACAGTCTGGGGCCTGAAAATTACTGCCACGGCTGCAGTTTGAAGAAAAACATTCCTCAATATACAGTAGCTTTAACCCTGTGTCCTACACTGAAGTAATCTATGCACGACTCAAGTCTTTTTTATTTATTTATTTTTTCAAACACAGTATCAGGGAAATCCTCGCGAGGCAGTGATTAGCGTCAGGAGTTTATGGTCTGGAAGCAGCTGCCAGTTTTATGGGCGCTCTTTCACACAAAGCAACTTTGACACAACGGTTGAACATTTGCATTGAAGTTGCGTGATGCATGGGGAATCTGCGGCGTGACCTCCAGCGAGAAGCAAAAACATTGCCTGTCGGAGCTTCCGTGACCTTAAGTTTTTATTCCAGCATCCATCAGTTGAACTGGTGATAGCGGAGTCAACCAGAAACACATCTGCTCACGTTTAATGTTTAATAATGAATGTAATTTTCACACAAACAGGCGTCGCCATAAAGGAGAGGAGTTTGAGAGAAAAGATACAAATTTTAAAAAAAATATTTTCCCAGGTGCCCAGCAGTCTCCACCAGTGGCAGCCCAGGACCTGACATCTGTCTTCAAGGCAGGCTACCTGGAGAAACGCAGAAAAGGTGAGTGCAGTGATAAAACAGAGATATTCTCACCACGGACAATAACAAATCTTCAAAAATTAAGGTTTTGACTCGGGCTGTTGGACAAACATTTTGGAAAAAAAAAAAAAGAAACAACAAGAAGCAATTCAGGGAGCAAACGAATGTATTTAAAGGGAAATTATTACAACAGGAACTTTTGGTCCCAAAGTGACATTGACAAATCAGGATTTCTTTGAAATGATCAGATGGAACTGCAGTAGATGAAAACCTGCAGCAGAGCATCATATTTTTAAGCTCTTATTTTGAAATAAGAAGACAGAGACATTTCTTTTTTTAAAATGTTATCATTTAACTGCATTACAAACAATAAATCTTCATGTCATTCTTTGTTTCCCTCCAAAGATCACAGCTTCTTCGGCACTGAGTGGCAGAAGAGATGGTGTGCTCTCAGTCACCATACGTTCTACTATTATGGCAGTGAGAAAGGTACGGTTACAGTTCTCTCTCTTTAACAAACCAATCCCTGCTAAATCCCAGTCTTGTCTTGTTTGAAGGATTAGGGACAGATTAGTTTATCATATTAACTTAACCCAAACTGAAACTGAAATTCCTCCTTTGAAAATGGACCAAACTAACACAAAATTCTGTATTTGGACGTACTAGCTTTTAATGAATGTAATTAATCACCACTACAGTAATTTGGGAACATTGTCTTTTTATATAGAACTGTAAAATGTAATATCTTTTTATAACCTAATGAAGTCAACATAGGACTTAAACTCTGAGATTATGAAGATTAAGGCCAGACCTCTGTTTATTCTCCACTCATATTTCCAATTAAGTATTTTATTGTCAGTTAAACATACTTTACAGATTTAAAGTCAACTTCCCAACTTTATTTTCAAAATGTACAGTATGTATAACTCACCTCCACTTACTTTTCTTTTGTCAACAGACAAGCAGCAGAAAGGTGAGTTCAGTATTGACGGCTACTCTGTCAAAATGATCAACACCCTGAGGAAGGACTCAAAGAAAGACTGCTGCTTTGAGATTTGCGCCCCAGAAAAGCGGGTCTACCAGGTACGTCGTCCCACACTTCACCACCGATGTCTTCTTCAACTCAGACGAAAATTAAAGTTTGACGTGTGTCCAAGCTTGAACCGGTGCATTA